AATGAAACATATTTGCTAGTGGCTATTGAACTAGAAAGAAGTAAGGAGCAATGGTTTAGGGGGAATACTGTTTCTTCATGAGGAATAATATTAAGATGCGGTTTATAGCTCAGGTCAACAATTTGCTCCCACAAGAGGGGGATTGAGCCCCGGACCTGAAAATGTTAAAACATCAGAACTCTTGAGGTCATCAAACAGAAAATGGGACTATATTCACATCTAGAGTACAATAAACAGCCACAGATCCTGCTTTGTTCTCTTTCTCTTAACAGTGGAAAGAAGAATTGGGCACTGCCCAGCACTGGAAGTATGGAACAGTCCAATTTTTCTAAGAGGCAAGATACAAATTTTATGTCTCAATGAGAAACTCAAATAGCATAAATTGCATACCTGTAAAAAGGAAGACCTCAAACTCTCAAAATCCAGAAACTGCTCAGTTTCAATAAAATTAGCCGTGTCACCCTCTAGGTTAGCTCCTCTTCTCCACATTCTGGTTCCTAAACAGAATGTGACCATATTTTGGAGAGAAAAAAAGATTAGCTCAAAGGAATAAAAATGCGCACAATTTGAATATCGATATCGATTTGTACCTAAACGTCGGGTACACCTTCTTGATATCAATGATACTATAGCTGATGAACCTCTGAACTTCAATTGTGCACCCTGAAAGCTTAGGTCTTTGTTAAGGAACCAACATGCAACAGAAAGTGAAATTTGGCTGATAATGATCAAGAGATCTATGCCCGATCCTCTCGATATCAGCAGATGCTTAGGTCAGGAAGCTAGACAGGTGCATTAAGGATATTTCCTTGCATTAGAGGAATGATAAATCCGTCAAGCTGTAAAAAGAGCAATGAGTAAATGAACTGGAGAGAAAGAAAATGTAAATTGGACACAAATATAAAGTGGCATATCATATAAACGTTAAAGGAAGAGATTGTATCCTAGAAAATATGAATAATTTACTCAATAGTTTAAGGACCAAATTATTTTCAAACCCAATTAATATGTTTTTTCTTCACAAGTAACGACATTCTTTCACTTTTCGATTAAGCCCACAATCAAAGCTAAACTTTATCCATGTTTCCTTCAAGTTGGATTCAGTAGAAAACCTTATTCTCAATTAGCTCCTCCAGCAGATTCCAGTTCCAAACAAACCTTGGATCGGCCTGAAGTTCAATAAAAAATAATTCAAAAAACTGAATACTTGAGCAGAAACCCTATCTTCAGTATAGCACAACAAAAGCATGCCAAATATAGCTGATATAAAACAATAAGAACACACCTGTTTCCATACTGGTTTTCTCGTCCAACCTTTAGCCAATTTGTATCTTCTCTGCAAGCTGATAAATATTATCAGATTCATAGAAATACGGTGGCATGTATTGAATGGTATCCTATATAATATAACTACCAGACACCGATTAAAGCCAGATGGATTATAGGTTAGCTATAGGCTTACTTCAGTGTTACATCTGTTTCATAAGAAAAATATAGCCCTGGTGTTGATTCCACTACTTTCAACAGATTTGTGAAGTATGCTTCATCTTTTTTCTGTAACTCAATGAAAGGTAACAAATTACTAGCAGACTTAAAAGGTTCCTCCAACATTTTTTAAAAAAGGATAAGGATTTAGACTTCTTCACTGGTTAGATACTTGGACGCCACATTGCAAGACAGGAACTTCATGGATGTCACCCGAAAAACAGGAAAACCAAGATAAGTTCCCACTTCTCTGTGAGAAGTTATAACTAATATATGTGCTCCTGCACCAAGAATGAGATATATGTAAACAAACATCTAAGTAAACAATTATTAGAAAAAGAACACTGTTCCTGCATGATCTCCCCTGACTTTACACGAGTCAACCTACAAATGACATAATTTCATTTGGTTACCAACCATTTTCCCAACCCTAATCAGCCTCATAGTAAATTCAAGCTACTTTGTTGCCATTGTGAATATCTTACTTGCTACAGAAAAGGCACCCCCCATTGGCTCTTCCGATAGCCACATAATATGAAAAAGAACTAAGATCAACCATTTAACGCATTCTTCATATGCAAATTCAGCTACAGATCCTCTTGAAATTAATTTAAAAAGATGATCGAGATCCAGGAAATACCTGCTAGCAGCCTAATTGTTCCAACAACCCCGTATATTGTAGAAATCTTTGAAGGCTCTCCAGTACTCGTCTCCCCTGCATAATCGTATCATAAACACGTGTGCTGAACTGTCATAGTTCCAAGTTCATACTTTCCAGCATAAAATAAAAGCTCTAAATTTCTAATCCATTTACCAAAACGATAAAACTTACCGTGTAGCTTCTCGATCGAACCATCGGAGCGGCTGACGGAAAAGCCTAGATCCGGAGATTCCCGCGGTCTGATTACGAACTTTTCCGGGAACTCCCGCAATTCCAATTCGCTCCATAGCTTGAAATGGCCCGTGTGATTTCCTTCAGCATCCATACGGTTCTCTCTGCTTCTTCTCGAATTGCGATGATTCCTAGAGAATTCACCGCAATAATTATTCAGAGAAATGGTAGATTTTCATTATAGTGTGATTTCTGTAAAACTGTATCTCCCTACCGATGAAAGAGGCCGTTAACGGCGTTACAGTGCTTAACTACCGATGACAAAACTGAAACCTCCCTAGTCGTCCTAATTTTTGCATTTTCAGACACCATGCCGGGTAATCATTTACTAAGTTAAAAAATAAAATATACATATTTAAATATTAAAATTTTTATAAATTAAGGGTTGATTTTATTTTTTAAAATAAGTTGTTTAATATTAAAAAACATTCAAATAAAATCTTTATATGATATGCATTTTGTAATAATATCAATTATATCAATGATTTTGTGTTTGACTCATAACTATACAATGTTACATTTTTTAAAGTGAAAAGGAATCTTTATACAATTGTTTTTAAATTATAAAATATTATGAAAGATTAAGCGAACTTGTAACAAAAAAACACACTAGTTTCGATGGTTAGGAACCTGACTAGATTTCTAAGAAATCTTAGGTTCAAACCTATGGTGGCTTTTGGAAATACTTCGCAAAAATTCGCAAAAAAAAACCAAAAAAAAGGTCCAAAGGGCTGGACCGGCCGGTTAGAACATCGATTCGCCACTGGTTCACGGTCTGAACTGGCCGGTTCGGTCCGATTTCAAAACTATCGTCGGTACTTCTTAACAACTTTTCTTTTGATCATTATAAATATTTTTGCCCATTCATATTTTGGTAAATTTTTAATATATTTTTTAAATATATAATTCATGCTCCCTCCATCTCAATTTCATTATTGGATTTATGAATTTTGCTAAACTTATTTTTAATATAATTTGTAAACAAAATAGTTTTAAAAGAGATGCGATTTTGCATGTTATTAAAAATAAAATGATAATTTTGAGACGAAGAGAATATGCTCTTGTATATTACCAATCTTATTTTAAAATACATTTAAGTATATACTGCCATTGTATCTCCTTCATAGAACATTAGTTTAGTTTTAACTTTTTGACATCAAAATTAATAAATTTAAATTTTTTTAAAATAAAATTTAAATCAAATATTAATCCAATAAGAGTTTTATTGAATTTGATGGAAATTGAGTCCATGTATCTAATCAGACAAATGGACCTGATCATGCTAGGTTAAGAGGCCTACGAGAATGCAACGAGATGCGAAAGAGAACCGAGTGGTCCGATTGTTTGAAAGTTTAAGCCTGAAAGAATCGTGTATGTTGTCGTAATAGAAGACTTGAGAAGGGAGGTGCAAAAATAAGATCTTAGATATGATTGGTTGGGATCGAAAATCCTAATATATCTCCTGTTACAGTTGTACCATGTATACATAGACCCCCCCCATTAAGACTCCCCACAAGGCTAAGTCTCCCTTCCCGTATGCCACATCCGCTTTTCACTCATTCTTTCACAAACAATTATTACCTTCAACACTATCATATTCATCTTTCCCACATGCAATCACATCTTTTTACACATCACCATTATTTCTTTATGAAATATTTGCACTGAATAGCACTAAAACTTGTTTTATTGTTTTATTTCCTAAGTAGCACTTAATAATGTCCAATGATGGCGAATATTTACTTGAATAATGACTAATGCATAATGACTAAAAGTGCTACATTTGGAAGAAAAACACATGTGGTGCTATTTTGGAAAAATCATTATATTTTAGTGCTATTTAAGTAAATTTCTCTTTCTTTATTTATATTTAATTATTTATTTTTTATGTAATAAATAGTACTCCTAGTACTCCATGCATTCAAATGTAATCTTCATATTTGACTTATCACGATCTCCATTATAAATGTAACATTTTACAAATTAATATTTATATTTATGAATAGATATCTATTATAAATATTATTATTTTAAAACTATGTTTCAAAAAAACTATTGATATTATATATATGTCAAATGAGAAGATTAAATCCAGATAGAGTACTATGTACTTCATCCGTCCCAATTTATTTGTCTTGCTTGACTCTTTCAAATCAAACTAGATGAACTTTAATCATCGATTACTCTTAACTTGCATTGCATAATAATACAACATAAGAAAATTTTAAAAGATCTCAACAAGTCCAATCTAATAAAATCATTTTTGTACAAATATATATTACAGTTTTATGTAATTGAGGTTCAAAGTTTGTCAAGCTTGATTAAAAAAATCAAACTGGAGGAATACACTAGGACGAAGAAAGTATGTTTAGGACGAAGAAAGTATGTTTAGTGGCATTTTAAAGTAACAAAAAAATCACCTGCACGGATTCATTTGTTGTGAAGGATGGCATAGATGAAACAAAATGAGTAGCACAATGCGGCACGTTGGACGAATCAGTGCCACATAAGCTACGAGCGGGGCTTGAAGAACAACGATGGAGGCAGTCTTAGGAGAAGGGATCAAAAATTAATTAAATACACACCATATTGTAAGATTATTATTCTTATTCTTTATTTTTTGATTGGATCTAGAGATCCATAAGATTTATCTTTTAAAATATTTTTAAAATATTATTTTATCTAATTAATATAACATGTATGTTTGATTCAGTTATAGATCAAATATTGATCTTGGTTGACTGTAAAAAGTTAAAATTAAACAAATACTTTGACACGAAGGGAACATGTCATATATTCGTTTTTTAAATGTTTGTTTTTTAAATGCAATTTTCAATGCTTGCACATATTCTTAAAGAGAAAAATAGTTTAAACTTAAAATTTTGAAATTAAAAAAATCACAATGTAAAAACACTCTAAATCATACAAATAACTTCATATATATATATATATATATATATATATATATATATATATATATATATATATATATATATATATATAAACACACACACATACATACATGCATGCATGCATGCATGCATACATACATATGTGTGTGCATTCCCTTCGTTTGGAAATGAATTACCGATGACAAAATAATAAAAATCATTATTTTTTCATTTTGCATTGCCTATCTATCAATGCTGAAATTATATATATTTAACGACACGTATAATTTCATAATATTTCCTTTGTCATTAAATGAACTTTTCATACACTATTGATTTTTATAATATAACATAGTCATGTCACATCTTATTTAGAATTTTTTTTAATTAGTTTATGTTAGACCTCATGTGAAAATCATTGAAATATGCGTGAACATATTTTATTGCACTTGTTAACATGATTTTCAAGTGTAGATCATGATGAATGACAAATAAGAAATGAAACTATTTCACGAGAATCGACAAGTAAAGTCATAGATGTACAAGTATCGTTGGAGAGAAGACAAACATATGCAATAAGGAATTTAAAATTGAAGACCAAATCCAATAGGCCGCCAAGTAAAACTTTTTGTAAAGACAATACAAATTAATTAAGTTTTGGCTCAAAATTATTTTAATTCAAATATAATTTTAAAAATGTGATTTCGATTTTAATTTAAAATGTTTTTAAACATCAAACTTTTCCATTTTATTTATTTACTTTTGAATACATCAAAATTATTATTGCTCTATCTTTGGGGAATTGTTTGATTATAATACATTCTGATTTTGGAAGAGTTCCATACATCAAACTTGTAGCTCTATTACTTACAAAAATACCGGTTTTGACAATTCTAATGGGCTGTTTGGCAACTTCTGAATCGGTAAGTGCTGAACCAGTAAGAGGTCTGAACCATTAAGTGCTGAACCAGTAAGAGGTCTGAACTATTAAGAGCTAGTATATTGCTTAACTATTTAGAAGGAAATGTCTGATCAATTCAGATAAGAGGTCTTAACCATTCAGACTCTGTATAATACATAACCATTCAGAGGCAAATTTCTTAACCTTTCAGACATCTGAACCATTAAGTGCTGAACCATTCAGACATCTGAACCATTAAAAGGCTGAAACAAACAGCCCCTAAATTTAAATGAGAGAGTTATGCTCATTTTACTGAGTTGTTTTTCTGTCAATGAAACTATTAATGGTGTATTAAACGACCATTGATGGTGAAGTGACCGACTAACCATTGGGCTATAACAACCATTTTGGCACCATCGATGGGCTATGCTTTTTTTAAAATTTATACAGCAGTGTGAAGTCTTGTAGAGGAATTTTGAGACTCCCGGAGAACTGATTAACTACAAGTTGTGATGAACTAATATACAAATCTTTGTATTCTTCGTTGTTCGTTTATTTCGGCATTTTACTTTAGTGAAAACTTATCAAAATTTTCGTGTCACCCTATTCATCCCTTTCTAGTGTTAAACATTTATTCCAACAGTTTTTAAATATATGTTTTTTTTAAAATAAATAAATTTATTTATAAATAATTCTAATCAAAATCATAAATCAGAATGAAAAAGTGGGTGAAGGGAGTAGATATTATTTTATGAAACTTTTATATTTTATAGGGAATGTTTTGAAATAAATTACTTATCACACAAGACACATTTTTTGAGATAGTAACTCTAATCCTTTATTTGGATGAGGAAAAAATTAGAAAGAAATAAAATAAGAAAGTTATGAGAAAAGAAATTTTTGGAGAAATTGGAAAAAATATTTATTATTTGGATGAATAATTATGTAGACCCCCACCATTTTTATAACATTCTCTCCATTTTCTTCCAAATCCAAACAAGAAAAGTTAGGTCATGTTCTCTTCACATGATATGAATATTTCTGATATAATAGGAATAAACTTTGATCTGATCTCATCTTATTTGATCTAAATATAATTATAATTAAAGTTGTTTCTGATCTGATCTCGTCTAACTTGATTCTAATAAAAATAAGTAATCAGTAAAAAAAGTTATGTTGAGGAGAACACCACACATGGCCTTACTTGTACAAGATTTGTCTTTTCTCTTTCCAATTTCTTTTTTCTCTCCATCTAAACAAAACAATTCAAGAGAAGGGGGACACGATACATAGAATTCAAAAAAAGAAAAAAAAGAAGAATGATCGCCATCCCCAAAAAAATTTCCGAACCATCCAGACAGTCATTTGAGAAGAGATAAATTTAGTCATACTCACATACTAATTGAGAAAAAGTGTAAGATTTACATGATACTTGCAAAAGTTCTAGATTTAACATAATTGAATGATAATGGAAAGAAGGATATACAGAACTCAATATTAAGAAATCACCATAAATACGAGTAACACATAAATAAAATATCAAAATACTCCGTAGAAGCTCCATGCTTTTATTCTAAAAATATGAGTTTATACTGTGATAATGTAACATTGTATAAAGATATTTCACAATATTTTTTATGATATACTCGGTTTTAATTTTTTTTATCCAAAAATGTTTGGAGTTTGTACTAACGAAAACACAAAGGGCCCAAAAGGATTTCTTACTAAAACAGTAAAACAGCAATAACTCCGATTTCACGTATTCACAGTCCCAGTCGTCTCCAATCTTATCGCCTTCATCATCATCGATGGCGACGATCAGTTTTTCATCTCCGGCGGCGGCGAGCCCCCGGTCTTCTATTTCCTCTCCATCCGTCTGCTTTTCACACAATGCCTCTACTCTCTCCTTCCACTCTCTCCCGAAATCTTCTCCCATCTTCACTTCGGTAACCCTCCGACCGATAAACAGAACAAAACCCCGGCTTCTGAACGTCTCCGTCTTCGTTGCAAACAAGCTCTCAGAGACGGATTCGGTTTCTGTTCCATCGGAGCAAGGCGCAATTGATGCCGTTTTCCCGAAAGCTTCCGGTGTCTACGCTGTCTACGACAGTAATGGCGATCTGCAATTTATTGGCATATCCCGAAACTTGGCCGCCAGTGTACTCTCCCACAAGATATCTCTTCCCGATCTCTGTTCTTCTGTCAAGGTTGAATTTTGAAAGCTCATAAATAATGGTTGCAGTTCATGAATTAGATTTGAAAAATGTGGATTAGTTGTTTTTTAAATCTAGAGGGGGAAAAATCACCATTAATTCTTTCAATGAGAATTTGATCATAAACACATATATAATCCCTAATGAGCTGATTCACTGGATTAGACTTCGATGTTCATTTATTATGTCAATTTAGGAACTTAAACTTATACAAATATACCTGGGATTTTCCTCATTATAATTGATAAGGTTTGGGGTTTCATAACAGTAGTGTTTGTTAGTTAAGGATGGAAAGATTATTTTCCTATAATATAAATGGAGGAAATTTGACTCCATGCTTGACAAACCAAACCCAAAGTCACTCTCCATTGTTCTATATTTCTTGAAAATGAGGTAATCCAATTTCACAGGTAAGATTCAAATGGACTATGCATGTTTGTTTGGTGTTTTAAACTTGTTTGATGTGAGATGACTCCATGGAAAATTGTTCTATATTCCTTGAAAATGAGGCAATCCAATTTGATGGGTAAGATTCAAATGGAAAGCTCTACTAATGGAGTTTTCATATTGTAGTTTGATGTTGTGGATGACCCCGACAAAACAGCTTTGACTCAATCTTGGAGGTCGTGGATCGAAGAACATATAGCAGTTACTGGGAAGGTACCGCCAGGCAATGATTCTGGAAACACAACATGGATTCATCAGCAACCCAAGAAGAAGAAGACTGATCTGAGGTTAACGCCAGGGCGCCGCGTCCAACTGACCGTGCCACTTGAAGATCTCATCGACCGGCTTGTGAAGGAGAACAAGGTTGTGGCTTTCATTAAAGGATCGAGAAACGCCCCTTTATGTGGTTTTTCACAAAGAGTTGTCGCAATTCTCGAGAGTCAAGGTGTGGATTACGAGAGCATTGACGTTCTTGATGAAGAACATAACAACGGGTTAAGAGAGACGCTGAAGAGATACAGTAACTGGCCCACATTCCCTCAGGTTTTTGTGAACGGGGAATTGGTTGGTGGGTGTGATATTTTGATGTCCATGTATGAGAAGGGTGAGATTGCCAGCTTACTCAAAAGTTAAACATGACCATCTAAGTTGGCTGAAATCTGTTGTACGATTAATCAATATGTCAATTGAAGTTTCTTTTACAATCTGTTTCTTGTTCTTTCTAATGCAAGCAGACAATTTGGTGTGTCTGTACAATAATCATTACTCCGTATAATTTAAATTATTATTTGGTGGATAAAGTATTATGTAAGGCTAATGATGATGTGGGATATTATCAAATTTTAATAATTACTCTGTAGCATTCAATTTATCTCAATTGGTTTTGTTAAAAACAAGTGTGGATCCAACAACACAGTGGTTTTTTGTACCTTATTTTGTCTCTATGAATAATAATATCTTGTATGAATTATGGTATAATTGTATCAATGTTGCCCTTTATGGCGGATTGCTAGCGCCGTGATAACTATGGTGGCAATACTTCACTTAATTTGGTGATGAATTCTTCATGCTTGATTCTATCCGCCTTTAATAAACTGTAAATTATCTCCAGTCGATTCATATACGCAGCTCAAGTATATTTCTACAATGCTGCAGCAGACAATCTCAACCGGTATGGTAATGCTATTACACGTACACTTTGGGTCTGTTTGGGAATAACGTTAAAGATTAGCGTTACCGTTTTGAAAAGGCTATCTACGGGCAGCGTTTAGCCTTAGCGTTTTCAAAGTAATCTGCACTGTTAAATTTTTATCCAAAACGCTAACGCTAATCTCTAACGGTATTTCCAATAGGCCCTTTAACATTATGGGCAGGTTGCAATTGAAACCTACTCACTGGCCTCCATCATGATGTATACACTTTCCTGAATAATAATGAAAGGAAGATACCAAACAGAGAGTTCCCTTTTGCTTCACTCCTACTCAACACATTTGAAAAAAGAATCCCTAAGAAAAAAAAGATGTCTTTCATGTTACCTTTCCAAACTCATATTATCTCTGTTTTTGTTTCTTTTAGTTCACAGTCAACCTTCCCATCTTCTTCCTCTGGTGTGCTTACCAGCTTTTGCAACATGAGGGGGACACAAAAATCTCCCAGAAAAAAACTAACTTTATCACTATTTACAACACTCATCTGCACTTCGGCTTTCATTGCCCTATTCTATACTGAGACTAGAATTAGTCTTCTTTCTTCCAACCACATTTTCAAGCCCTGCCCGAAGCGTGACAAGCATAAGAAGATTATAGCAGGTGCGCTCCTCTAATGCCCTTAACTCCTTCAATCTTTCCACTTCCATTAATACTTATTTTCTCAAATCAGTAACGAAAACAGGTAAAAAAAGTGGATAAAATTTGACCATGTGAAGTTTTTTATGAGATGGAGCGAGTATAATCTTAGTGCCGTTAATGGTTGGTTTTGCTGGCTCATAGACGATGAAGGATTGGAACGCCGTCGAATTACAGATGCAACAGATGATAGGTTCGTGTTTGGTTCAGAGGAATGCACTCTAACTGCTGGGAAATGGGTGTTTGATACTTCAATTAAGCCTTTATACACGGAGATTACATGTCCATACATTGACAGACAATTTTCTTGCGTTAAGAATGGCAGAAAAGATTCAGATTATCTTCACTGGGTATGGCAGCCTGATGACTGCATCTTGCCACGGTTAGTTAGGCAGTCACCGTTACATTGGGGACTCTTAAACTCTTAGAATAGATACAAATGTATGACTGATAACCAGAAACTTTCTTTCAGTTTTGATCCCGAAAATGCCCTGAGGAAAATCCAAGGGAAGAGGATGATGTTCATTGGGGATTCATTACAAAGAAACCAGTGGGAGTCTTTTGTGTGTTTGGTTAATTCTGTTATTCCAGAAAACCAGAAGTCCATGAAGCGAGGTCGGGTTCATTCCGTCTTCCGAATTATGGTACCCAAATCACCAATATTAGTTTTTAGTTGAGACATTTAGAACCATTCAAGTTTTTTTAAAAAATGTGTGTGCGCGCTCAGGAATACAATGCTACAATTGAATTCTATTGGGCGCCGTTCTTGGTGGAGTCTAACACGGATATCCATATAATCACGGATCCAAGTAAGAGAATCATCAAGGTGGACTCAATCTCTACCCGTGGAAAACAATGGGTAGGAGTAGACATTCTAGTCTTCAACACTTACGTCTGGTGGATGAGTGGCCTCAAGGCCAACACTCTGTAAGGCCTTGAACTTCTTTCTTACTTTCATTACAATTTCCTCATCACACAACACATGGGTAAATTTCACTTGTAGCATCTGAACTTGGACGTGCTTTCGATTAAGTACCTAAACTTTATTTTCTATAAAAATACCTAAACTTTACCAAATCTTTCAAGAAATTTTTTTAAGCATGTTTCAGGTCATCAATTGGTCATTTTGCTTAGGCAATCGGGTAGCATTGCATGGTGGGTGTAATTGTACCAATATTAATGCCTTTCCAACTCAACTTCCACCTAAGAAAAATGACCGGCAAATGAATTGAAACATGTTAAAATCTTCTTCTTGAAAGATTTGGTAAAGTTCAGGTGTTTTTGTTTTATAGAAAATGAAGTTTAGATACTTAATTGAAAAAGGGTTCAAAGTTCAGGTACCACCAATAAAATTTACCCACATCTCATTGTCCATACGTTTTGATCAAATGCAGATGGGGATCATTTAAAAACGGCAAAGATGGCTATGAAGCATTTGATACAGATGTGTCATATAGACTTGCATTGCGTACATGGGCAAACTGGATAGATTCAAACATCGATCCCAACAAAACACGGGTGTTCTTCACCACAATGTCTCCCGTGCACATGAGGTAAGTGTTAAGTTGGTTCTACAATCTACATGTAAGTTGAGAATAATAAGTTTGAGTTTGATCGAGCATTTTGGCCAAACCTTATGGGTCGTTCTAGGGTAACTCCAACATTTTGGGTTACCATGACCCCAAACATTGATCATACTACAGAAACCATTATTGTCTGTGCCGCACAGACAATAACTCTTTGTGCAAAGCTATGATAACATTGTTTTGTCAATTGATCAGGAGCGCGGATTGGGGGAGGGAAGATGGGATAAAGTGCTTCAACGAAACAAGGCCGGTGATGAAGAAGGGGCACTGGGGAACAGGGTCAAGCCGGGAGCTGATGAGAGTGGTGAACAGTGTAACGAAGAGGATGAAAGTGCCGGTTACGTTCATCAACATCACACAACTATCGGAGTACAGAATCGACGGTCACCCTTCGATCTACAATGAGCTTCAAGGGAAGCTATTGAGTGATGAGCAGAAGGCAGATCCTTTGCACTTTGCAGATTGCATACATTGGTGCTTGCCTGGTGTCCCAGATACATGGAACCAGATTCTCTACACTTATTTGTAGCAACAGCAGAAGCACAATATTTATGTACGTAGTACATTTTTTACGGAGGAGTATTCCATTTACTTTTTTCTACCAAATTTATTAATAAATATTCCTTCTGTTTACCATGGATCTTCCCAAATACCTTTTTTTCTTTGTCTGTGAAAAATTTTTCATTACTTTCTTAACGTTTAAAATACCACAACTACATTCACTTACATTATTTTTTACACCTCATTTATCTCATTTAATATATTTCACCCAATTTCATTAGACAAGGCGCAATGCCCCACGCCCAACCCGTCGTGGTCCCGCGTGGTATCACCACGTCGTCCCCCCTCTCACGACCACGGTCTGTGAGACTTGCCATGGTCACGACCTGTTACCTTTTTTTGTTTCAATGCTCCAACGGTCCTTTTGACAAAAAAACGTCCCCCTTCAATCCAAACGATCCGAACACCGGAAATATGTTCGATAATTGTTATTGTCTGACTTTCGAGGGATTTGAGTATTGGACTCTATCCCCGAATTTCTCTTCGGGTGGCTCTCAAGGCTTAACGTTTCCAAACTTCATTCCGGAGACGCAACCTCATTACATGCTGGAGACGCAATCTCCACATGACCAAGCTACTTAGCGAGAGGCGGAGTTCGGGAAGAAGAAAAAACTTCAAAGAACAAAGGCTCCACTTCCAAATCCGCAGAGTCGGTGCCAACGAAAAGAAAAAGTTTCGTTTGGTCGGATGAGGAGGAGAGAGCATTGGTAGAAAGTTGGATCGATGTGTCGGAGGATCCAATTCAAGGTTAATAAATTTAATTTTTTTTTGGTACAAATTTTTTTCGACTAACACAATTTTTAACAAAAAAAATTGTAGCGAGCAACCAAAAACTAAGTACCTTTTGAGATTGCATCCACAAACAATTTCATCCTAAACTGAAGAGAGAGAACTACCATACGGTAGACATGTTGACGAGTAAGTGGCACGACTTGAAGAAAAAAGTCAACAAGTTCGTGAGATTTCTTCACCTACTACACAAACAACAGAAAAAGTGAGTGTGGTGAATATGATATCATCAACGCTGCACATCTAGAGTACAAGCACATCGAGGGCCACACTTTTGGTAATATCGAGGCGTGGAAGATTATGCGTCGGTAATTGCGTTGACAAGAAACTGCACCCTTTTGTCCAACGACCCATTCCCCGAAAGTTAAGGGTCGGACGCCCACTTCTACCTCAACGACGATGAGGTCTTTGTGCAAGATGTATCGAGCCGATGGGACGAGATGAGTTAAAGGCGAAGGAGAGAGGCAAGGAGAAAGTCGCTTCGGGTTCTAAGGAAGGCGGCGTTTACAAAAAAGAATTGCAGTCTTTATCCACTCGAATGACCGACTTTTTAGAGGTGAAAAATGCTTCCATTCGAAATAAAGAGAAATCGTCAAATGGTGACCGACATTGCATTCCTAGGCACGAAGTATGACGGTACAAACGAACGTGATCTTGCCTTGATCGAGATGATGGACAAAATAAGAAAAGAATATGCGGCCAAACGTAATCGTGATCGTGATCAAGCCTAGATTTTTTATATATTTCCCATGTTTTTGAGTGGCTACTGACTTGGAGTGAGCGGTTAGAGATAGCCTTTGTAAACTTTCAGCTTTTCCAACTCTCCTTAAAAGTTACAAAAAGTCAACTTAGGAAGATCTACGACGAACAAAGGGAGATAATTTTTAAAAAATATATTACCTTCATCTCAGTGTATTTGTCCAGTTGACTTTTTTGAGTCAAACTCGACAAACTTTGAAATTCAATTACTCCCCGTTTGTATTAAATATTAGTTCAATGAATTAATATTTTGAAAGTTTTGAACAACATAAATTTATTAAAATCAATTTTATACTAATATATATACACCTTGGTTCCCATGACATTGGGAACCAATGTCATGGGATGACCCGGGGGCACTCCGGTGCCCCGTTCATAAAATTGACGGTTCCTACCTCCCCTAACCTCCCCCGGTAAACCTCCCACCCCGCCCCGACCCGAACGCACCCCCCACCCCCTTCAATTGCACCCCACAAGTTGATTTTGACTTTGGAGTGCCCACGTTTTTCCGGTACGGTAGGCGGGCACTACTACCTTAAGGACAGCTCTGGCGACCTCACTGTCCTTCCGTGGTGTTTTCTTTGCACGACTAGTTCACTCGACTCTTCGTAATCTCCGATAAGTCCAGCGAAGAGCCAAATTCCTCTCTTATAAAAGGAGGGCTTGGCTGCAAAGATGAAAAAAAAGCAAAAACTTTCTCTCTGTAATACGTATAGTCTTCCGACAATTCCCCGGTTTCCGATCATCTTCTCCGGCAGTAATGTCTCGTCATTCTCGGTCGTCGATATACGGTTCTACCGCCCTAGGCCTTGCACGTAGCGGTTTTATCCTGGGAGGAGATTTCCCACGTTTGCCAGTGTGGGAGGCGGGCAATACTACCTTAAAGCTCTGGCGACTCTGCTTTCCTTAGCTCTGTTCAAGAAACTTCTCCGGCGACACCCTACCACCCGACGTCTCTGCTCAGCGATCCGTCCGTGTTCCTGCTTCCGTTTCAGTTCGTTCGAGCTTCCCGAAGACTCCAATTTACTTATTTATTTTTCGTTGTAAAATCCGAACCTTTTATAAGTTCGGATTAATTCTATTTATTTATTATTCCCGCTGACATATTCAACATACCGTCGTGAATAGAGACCGGCACTGTGCTCGGTCTGAAAAGGAAGGGTTAGATTATTGAGAATCTTAGCTCCGATACCATAATACAATTTGATAATAATTAGTCTTATTGAATCATTAAGTATACATCCTTATATATAGGGACTAAAAGAGAGAATTATAATCATAGTAGGCGAACAATTATTATAACAATACATTAAGGAAAATAATATAATAAGAAACGTAATGAATAATGATAAATCACTCTAAATAGGACCAAAACATAAAAAAGTATCAAAATAGGAGTTCCATGTTTTTATTCTCAAAATAGAAATTCACATTATGGTAATGTGGTACTGTACACGTGCACATTACTATACTTTTTTGGTAATATACATGATCATGTTTAGTAATGCAAATGTATTTCAACCCCTATTTCGAAAATAAAAACATGAAAGTTCTATTTTAGTATAAATCTTTTTCCCATGAATAATACTCCCAATAAACATTGCCAATAAAAGAGAATATTTAAACATTGCCCATACACCCTAATTAGTCAATTAGTTAGGCACTAGAGTTGTCAGGTGGGTTGACAGTTTGGTCCCTAAAAAATGAAGTCGTCCCATTTTATAACTTTTAATTTTTGACCGTCTGGAAATGCAAAACAAACATAATTATCTTGTAGTAATAAATTACACCCTAAGTAAGAAACATTTACCGAGTAACCCTATTGATGATGAACCATGCTGCCCCACCCTTCTACGTAAGCGCGGATATTTTGGTCATGTTTGAAAATGGGCGATTGACTATTTCTATTGATCGAATAAGGCTCCGTTCCGTTCAACTTATTTTTTCTGATGTGATCTGATTTTTTGTAGTTCTGAACTGATCTGATTTTTTGAAATTTTGATCGACTGATAATATTAACTGTTAATGAAAGGATGTTTGATAAATTTAATTGCTTCTAAATAGTTGCGTGTGGATAAATTTACGTTTTAAGACATGTATGCATTAAGTAAATTAGTGTGATTGGGTAACTCTTAAAAAATTGAAATTGATTTGTTGAATGGAATTATTGTTGGCTTATAAATAATTTTTTCCTTCCACAAATTTTTTTCATTCAATATTCATATGTTTAAACTTTATTTATTTGGGTGTGAACAAGTACTGAATCAAATTCGAAAATTCTTGAAAAACCGAGAAAACCGATTCAAAAAATATTGAACCAAAGAAATACCAAAAAATCAAATTGTACCGAATTGAATGACCTGTTTGATGTTTGGGAATGATACGAGGTAATTTCACATACTGAAATTCCTGAATCGAACATATATACTATTATATAATAAATGCAATATTCTTTTCATATTTCCTCATTAAAAAATAAGTTTATTTAAAAATTATGTTAAAATTTTATTATGTGTAAATTATCTTTTATTTAAGTTTTAATTTTTTGTAGATGTACTTAAAAATAATAAGCATTAGGAATACTATATTGTTATAATTCATTCTCTTTAGTTTGTGAAATATAAACTATGTTCAATAATCATTTCTTGATTTTAGTTACTCGGTATAAAATTTCAGTTCTTTTTCAGTTTTTTAATATTTTTTATTTCAATGCACTTTTGATTTTTCAAAAATAAAGGCTTTTGTTATATTTTAAAGTATAAATAAACAAAATATATGATTCTTGGATTTAAAATATAAATTAGTAGTTTTAAAAAAAGTATAAATTAGCATCTACGTATTTATACTGATTTGTACTGAAATCGATACCGAAACATACCGAACAAAATTCCAAGAACGAGATTGGTACGACGTAAAATCTCACAAGGAGTCGAAATATTTACTACAATACCAGTATAAGTTAAATACCGTACCATGCTTGCCCCTAATGTAATTTCTTTACTTAGTTTACTACTCATTTTTCATTATTTTATAATCATGTCAATTTTTGTTTGTACACCTTTTTATTTAGTTATAAATATATAAATTTATTTTAAATTTTATTTTTTTAATTTTACATTTATAGTCAAATAAATTAAATTAAAAACAACTACAATCCAATCTAGTAAATCAAAATGAGAAAAGGTAATGAAAAATTACGCAAAATAAGAGTAAAATATCAAAAAACTACAAAAATATGAGTTCTATCATATGCGCTTAATCTCAAAATAGGAGTTTGTATTATAAAAATGTGATACCGTATCTTGATATTTCAAAATATTTTTTGGTATAATGTGTTGCCATTATTGGCATTGTAATTTTTATTTTGAAAAATAAAAACATAGAACTTTAAAAAAAAGTAAATGTAAATTGTGAGAATTAGAAGATAGCAGCAACGATAGGGAAAAGTATAAGGAGAAATAAGTAATCTAATCAATTTATATTTCAAACAGCTGAAGAAAAACGTTGCTGCAACTTGCATTTTCATACTCTTCTTTTACCTCTTCTGTTTGGAGTCAAACAGTCATCATTTCATGTAATTACCGTATATATCCCCGTGATAAATAGTACTTCTCTGTCCCAAATTAAATTACCCGTTAGTTCTATAATAATCTTCCCGATTCGTAAAACAAAGAAACACTACAAGAAAAAGGACTTTTAGTTACGGATTAATTATGACGGGTTGATAATACTCTCATTAAATGTGTTATTAATACATTTTTAATGAGGGGAAAAAACTCTAGTTAAAAGGTATTATTTTTAGTGACCAATTTTTTTTTATTTTTCTTGTTTTAAAGTTAATACTCTCATTATATATTTATATATTTCTATATTGGCCAAACTAAAATATATTAAAAAAATGAAATTATTTAGAAATAGTTATTATTCCTTGAAAAATACAGCGGCAATCTAATTGGGATTACCGCGCCTAAGTTCCCTTTTCGCTGTGGAGGTATTTTTGGTGAAAATTTCTCCCCAGATTCACAATCTCTCCTCAACCGCTGTTTCGCTGAAGTCCTGCCGCTGCCACCTGCGTACAAGCTTTCCGGCCACTCCTTCCCTTTAGACGACCAATAGTGTTCGACCAGAGACCTGTTTTTCTTGGTTTTTCCCTGCTGTTTCTAGGGATTCGGCGAGAGGAACAAGAGCTCCGTCCGCCACTCGTTTCCTGTCTTTCGCTTACTCAATTCCAGGTAATTTTCTTTCCCAAATCAGGTTATAATGTTTAATTGTCTTTCGCGTATATTTATCACAATATAAACTCGTATTTTAGAGATAAAAATATAAAGCTCTTATTTTTGTACTTTCTATAGATTTAACTTATATTTAGGGTGATTTCTTTTTCTTTCTACTCGACTCCTATTTTTTAAAAAAAAGAAAAAAGACTAAAATATGAGTAAAACATCAAAAATATACCAAAAATAGGAGTTTCATGTTTTTATTTCTAAAATAATATTTAAAATGCATTTACATTACCAATCATGACCATTTACATTACCAAAAAACATAATAAAATACACATGTATAGTGTCACATTAACACAATGTGAAATCCTATCTAGGGAAAAAATATGAAACTCATATTTTGATACTTTCTCTATGTTTTACTCCTGGTGAATTCTATTAAAAAATAACTTTATTTCATTTTACCTCACCAAACTAACTTTTATTCATTATTACCTTTGTTTTTGTCTTTTATTTAATTCACTTTCAAGCGCTCGATCAGTTCCCATCTTCTTCCTTTGGCGTCCATACTTGAACAATCAACATGAGTGGCACTCCAAAATCTGCCAGGAAAAAACTATCTTTATCACTACTTGCAGCACTCATCTGCACATTGGCTTTCGTTGCTCTATTCGATACCGGGAGTAGAATTACTCTTCTTTCTGTCGGTGACCCTCTCAAGCTCGGGCTGAACCGTATCGCTTCCAAGCCGAAGAAGAAGAAGACAATAGCAGGTGCTATTGACGCCTCAAAAAACAACACTTGTAATGTGTCAAATGTTTTCCTGCAATGGAAAATTACACATATACCAATATCCTCAGCACTAAATAAGAGCTAGTATTATGTGTGTGTGTGTGTGTGACTGTGTGTAACTTATTTATTTATCTAAATAATTTCGTGTTTGATTCAGAAGAATGCACTCTTACTGCTGGGAAATGGGTGTTCAACAGTTCGATTAAGCCTTTATACACGGAGAACACATGTCCATACATTGACAGACAATTTTCCTGCGTTAAGAATGGCCGGAACGAATCAGAGTATCTTCACTGGGTATGGAAGCCTAATGACTGCATCTTGCCAAGGTTGGTTTACTTAGTTAGACAGTCACAGTTACAATTTTACTCCGAATTTATTTACCTCAGGGTAGGTAAAAAATAAAAACAAAAGTATGATTCCCCAAGCTAAGACCTTTTCTTTCAGTTTCGATCCTGAAGATGCGCTGAGAAAAATCCAAGGGAAGAGGATGATGTTCATTGGCGATTCAATACAAAGAAACCAGTGGGAGTCTTTTGTGTGTTTGGTTAATTCAGTTATACCGGAAAACCAGAAGTCCATGAAGCAAGACTGGTTTCATCCTGTCTTCCGAATTAAGGTACAATAATAATACATACATGATAATAGTGAAGGGAACCTTCACGCATTAGGTGAGGTCACGGTTTCGAGTCCCTAAAGCAGATTCTTGTGAGTGCACAGATGGAAGATTTGCTCACAATCCTACAAATCATCCTCGTGATGGGATCCTTTCATATGCCTCCAGTCATCCACGATGTGGGCTTTGTGCACCAAGTGTTTTTTTTTTGAAAAAATCATCGATAGTCTTCATTGATGTTTTTATACATGTGTGTGTTTGTGTGTTCAGAAATACAATGCTACAATCGAATTTTATTGGGCGCCGTTCTTAGTTGAGTCCAACACAGAGATCAAAATCCTCGCGGATCCAAGTAAGAGAATCATGAAGGTGGATTCAATCTCTAGCCGTGGCAAACACTGGGCAGGAGTAGATATTCTAGTCTTCAACACTTATGTCTGGTGGATGACTGGCCTCAAGGCCAAAGCTCTGTAAGGCCCTTCAACATCTTTCTTACTTCATTACAATATCCTCATCACGCAGCACATCATTGTCCAAATGTTTTGATGAAATGCAGATGGGGATCGTTTGAAAACGGCGAAGACGGCTATGAAAAGTTTGATACAGATGTGGCATACAGACTAGCATTGCGTACATGGGCGAACTGGATAGATTCAAACATCGATCCAAGCAAAACACGGGTGTTTTTCACCACAATGTCCCCCTTGCACATGAGGTAAGTGTTAAGGTCGCTCTTACACGTCTAAAATAAAAAACTACAGCCCAACATATAAGCATGTCAAGCTCATCCAACATATGGAATAATACGTTCTGGTTTGATCAAGCATTTTGGCCCAGCCTTATTGTTGAGCTCATTATCTCATAATTATGATAACATTGTTTTGTCAATTTATCAGAAGCGCGGATTGGGGGAGGGAAGATGGGATAATGTGTTTCAATGAAACAAGGCCAGTGATGAAGAAGGGACACTGGGGAACAGGATCAAGCCAGAAGCTGATGAGAGTGGTGAACAGTGTAACGAAGAGGATGAAAGTGCCGGTTACGTTCATCAACATCACACAACTATCTGAGTACAGAATCGACAGTCACCCTTCAATCTACAATGAGCTGGACGGGAAGTTATTGACAGATGAGCAGAAGGCAGATCCTTTGCACTTTGCAGATTGCATACATTGGTGCTTGCCTGGTGTCCCAGATACATGGAACCAAATTCTCTGCACTTATTTGTAGCAACGGCAAAAGCACAACATCTATGTACACTTTTCATTTCTAGGATTATGGTAATTTCTCACATGGACCCTTTTTTGGCATGTACACTTCAATACGTTGTAAAATCATTTTCTGACAAATATGGTAATAGTGAAAGAAAGCATGCACAGGTTTCTTATTCCTTCAACATGCAATAAATTAAAGTTATGATTGTTGTTAACTCAGCAAAAAATGTCAAATTGTGAAAACTTGTTTACTCTTCCAAAAGTGGATACTTATGGACAATATTTGAGTGGGTTAAGTTGAGGCTGCTATGGCCCCTCCATAGCTCTGCTTGTGAATGACTAGCTAGGGCTGTGCATCACTCCAACCCCGGGCTGGATCAGGACCAAATAAGGGCCTTTTGGTGGACTGAGGATCGGACCGACTTAGCCTGAGACTAGACATGCACGAATAAGGACAAGTTTTCGATTCCAAAGTCTCAATTTAATCAACAATCCTTACCTGAAGCAAATTTACAAGCAATGCCCATTGCCCAATTGTGTATATACAAATTACAGGCAATTACGATATATTTCGATCTGTTTCTTAGAAAAACATATTACTGGCAGTGCCCAAATGCACATTCGTGCAAGTGTGCATATATAAATTACATATAGTAAATAACAGGGGAGTTTTCAACTGCTAGGGTTTTAAGTTTTAATTGCATAATTGTTGATTTCAACTTCTAGAGTTTTATTATTTATTAAACCTGAAGCTGCTGGGCCGTTGGGGAGTGCTGGAATACGAAAAAATATATTGCTTAGTAATTGGTGTTGTTGTAAACTTTTATTGTTTTGAATCTAAGATATTTTCTATTTACTAATGGTGCTGTTCTCAAAGAAATTTGTTGAGGAAATGAAGATGGAAGGTAGAAGAAGAAACGTACCTGTTCAGTGGTCGTGTTGATGCTGCTGGCGGACTGGCTGGCGAGTGGCGACAGAAGAGAAAACAGTTGCGGCGGCGGCAGTGGCGGACGGGCGACGCCGGCCACTAGCCTCTTCAGTCTTCACGCCTTTCCGAGTGCCACGAGTCCGGACCCCTTTGACCTCCTCCAGTCCGGACCGGCTCTCAGTTTCATGTAAGAGCAACTACTGGAGGAAGAATATTTGTGATTTATACATTTTTTTATTAAAGTATTATACCTTCTTCAATTTTGAAGAGATATCTTTACCTTCTTCATTTGGGGAGGTATATAAATTTTTCCCACTTTTTAAATTTATTTCATCAATTACTTTAGTTATTGTATTTTTGCTTGAATGTATTATTATAAATTATTAATTTGTATCTTTGTCATTGTAAAACTTAACGAGTCAAGAATTAACAAAAAAAAGATACTTTGTTTTTTAATCTTGCACTTTGTATTTTTAAGGTTTTTCTATTCAGGTATTTATAGTTTTACATGTGTAATTAGACATAATGTATATTTAACTATTTCAAAACTGACATTCTAATTTTTTCCCCCAATAAATTAGTTGTATTTTTATAAAATCTTTAAGTTTAAAAATTTAATCAAGAAGAAACAAAGGCAACAAACCTCAAATTTACCTCCCCATGATTTTTTAAGAATGTATATTTTCTTTTCTAATAATTAAAATTTGATTTAAGAAGATAAATCAAATAATTTTTCCCCAATAATGTATGAAGATGAATTTTTTCCCTCTTTTGCCTTTTGATTTACTTTCCCCCATTAGAGCTGCACACTTTTTGGAAAGGTAAACTTGATCCTTTAGAGAGATAAATTAGATATATACATTTCCAAGACACCTCTTAGGGAGTACTCCGTATGTGATTTTTTTAAGTTCTAATCTTATCTGATTTAATTTGATCTGATCTGATTTAATTTGATTTGGTCTGATCTAATATAGTCTGATCAGATTGAATTTGATATGCATTTGATTAAATTAAAATTATAATAAAAAAATTTATTATAATAGTTATAATATCAGTAATAATAATTATAACTACAATAATAATAACACTAATAATAACAGTAATAATAAAAAAGAATTATTGATAATAAAAGAAATAATAATAATAGTAATAGAAACAATAATAGTAGTAGTAGTAGTAATGCTAATAGTAAGACCAATAATAACAATAATAATAATACTAATAATAATATTAATAATAATAGAAGAAATAATAATAATAATAATAATAATAAAAGAAATAATAATATTAATAATAGTAATAATAGTAACAGTGATTTTAATAATAATAATAATAGTAAGAATAGTAATAATGATATTAGTAGTAAAAATAGTAATAATAATAATAATAATAATAATAATTATAGTCATAATAATAATAGTAATAGAAATCATAATAATAATATTAATATTGATAAATTAATAATAATAATAATATCAATAATAATAACAACAGTATTTGTAATAATAATAAGAATAGTAATAATAAATGTAATAATAATAGTAATAATATTAATCATAATAATAATAGTATAAATAATAATAATAATAATAATAACAATAATAATATTATTCATATTAATAGTAATAATAATAATAATAATTCCAATAGTAATAATAACTATAATCATAATATTAATAGTAATAGTAAAAGTAATAAAAATACTAATAATAAAGGTAATAATAATAATAATAGTAATAATAATAAAAAATAATACTCCCTCCGTCCCTAAATAGATTACAATTTTTTTTCTCTCTCCTCTCGATAACTTTTGTTTGTTTACGTGATTTCATTAAGTATTTGATAAAATAAAATATTCTTTTCACCTCTTGTTTTGTAAAACTTTTGACGTAGTTTTTTAGTATGTAATTTTTATAACTTATTGATATACCAATTTGTAAATAAAATAATTTAAAAAAGTAAGGAAGTTTTCTCCGTAATCCACAATTTGTAATCTATTTAGGGACGGAGAGAGTATTAATTTTGTTTAGATTTGTCCTAATTTAATTATAATCAGATCAGATCATTGAATCTGATCATTTGATATTTGATCTGATTGGATCTAATATGATCTGGTCTGATATGATCTGATCTGATTATAATAAGAATAAGTAATAAACAGAAAATTAAGTTGAGTGGAACGTTGCCTTATCCTATGTGGTACGAACAAGGTTCTATATGAACAAGCAAATTATTACATACATTCGGTTGTACCTAGAGATAGGTACAACCGGCTTTTAATGGCAAAAGGAAGAAATCGGCGATGAAGGAGGCTGGCCGATCGGAATTTTGCTAGAAGTCGTGCGGATCTGTGATGATGTGCGGATTGATGATGATGTGGGGATCTATTCTTCGCGTTTGTATCGATTCTTGGGGTTTTGCCTATTGGTGGTGCGGTGATGATGAAGAAGAACAAAGACTTGTCCGGTTCTGCAGAATTGATCTACGGCTATGAAGAAGCTTTTGGGATCCGCGGTTAGGGCGAGCTATGAATGATGGTATGTAGTTGAAGAATGAGTACTAGGCTATGTGGGGATGAGCACTACTAGGTTTTAGAATGTCTATTACGTTATTCGTAAATGAATATTGTACAAATGTGTGAAAATGAGTATTACATTTTTTCTGAATGAGTAACATGGTTTTTCAAAATAAATGCTTATGTTGATGCGAGAATGAGTACTACTTTACTTCAGAATGAATACTACCCGGATGTATCTAAATGTAACAGGAACATGGCCCCTCCCCCAGAGCATTGTAATTGGTCGTAATGTTGTCCACATCAAACACTTGTTTAATGCTCTTAGGCCATGGGGTGTGCCCCTTCTTCCAAATCAGCACCACCTCAGCTTTTACTTTTGCTTCTCCTTCCTTACTCCTTCCATAGAAATGCATCCTCTTTTTTCCTTTCAATTTTAATATTATTTTTAATACTTATTTTAATTCAAATAAATAAACTAAAAACATTAAAATTATAAAATAATTGAATATTTTAAGAAATATAAATTGAACAATTTAAGAAAATATAAAATTTAAATAAGAATTTCAACAATTGTGCGGCTAAAAAATATAATAATAGTGCATAAAACAATACATTTATCGGAGCACTGAAGGAAATGGACAGTTGGAGGAAGACACCGATGGTCGGAATGGATTCATTACACTCAAATATATAAAAAATAATTTTATAAAAAAACACTATAACCCAAAGGAGTGGATGTGAAATGTGTGAAAAATATTAGCTGAGTGTTGTGTTTAAATAGTGGAAATTTTGAAATTTTTCGTTTTTGTAATTCTCCAACAATTAGCTTAAAAAATTAAAAATTTAAAATCCGAAAGTTTGGCAACGGGAAAAACGGCAGGGGAACCGGGGGATGTTCCCGCTGCTTCTTGTCGCCCCTTCCCGTGGGCGTACCACATGGCCTTATGGCGTTAATCATTGCCCTTCTGCAATTATAGAGGTGTTATTAATATTGTGTTAAACGTTTAACGCGTGAGAAAGAATAAAAGAGCCATTGCCCACCCTCTGCCACGGTCCAAAAGTAATCGTTGGCTACTTTTTTAAAAAAATATTTTCAACTATAAATATTCTGGCTTTATATAAAAATACACACAAAACATATTCTCGATCATTTTCTCTACAAGTTAGATATCTTATATTTTTATAAAAAATGGAATCACCGTCTTCATCTGATACGGAGAAAAGCATTCACGTTTCATGTTTTCTCAATGGGATGTTACCAGTGGTGGAAACAACAACAACAAGAAGAACTATGATCATCAAGCCAATCAACCCAATGTGAGCGTTTAAACTGTGACCGGGTAACTGCACACGAAGCACTACTTAACGACTACTTTTACACTGCGTGTTTTACACTTCGAAGAATTTTAGTAACCATTTTCAAATGAGCTGTTCTTTTTTAGAATACTACACGATATTGAACGAGAGGTGCCTTGGTTCACCCAACGGGTTGATGCGAGAGGCTTGTGCGGTTTTAGTAACATCTAAAAGTACACCGTCCATCTTCATCAAACGACATACGGAACCGGCAGTGATTTGTTCGATGAATATATACTTGAAGATGTCGGCTCGAAACTTCAGTTCATATGTCTATAAATTATCTAAAGCTATTATTCGACTCTACCAAATGAGGTACTTGTTAGTTACATGGTGTTGGGTAATCTTTTGGCAAAATAGAATCTCATATTTGTTAGGTCTTTTACTAGGTAGAAACCTCTATTTGTTTGGAGAGGTTTATTTTATTTAGACTTCTAGAGTTGCTGCAGTTTTCGAGGTTGACACAGAAGATGCTACAGCACGATGCAGCAACACACAGTTCGGGATCAGAGGTCTGAGCACGGGATTTTAAGTTGCAATCTGAATTAGAGACCTATTGGGATTGTGATTACATGATAATAACTCCAGCTGTACATGCTAAAGAATCTCAACTCTTTAGGCTACTTGTGGATCAAGATTAAGGAAGTAGAGTTCAAGCCAATTTCTACTAACCTATTCCTACTAGGATTGTGTCAAGAGGAGCCTATAAAAACGCAGCAGGTCCCTGGGAATTACTTGGAGCGATTGAGAGGGAAAACAAAGAATATACGCTAATGTAGAGCATTCCCGTCGCGTCCCGGAGCTTCCAATGCGTTAAGAAGGTTGCGATCTACATAAAGGAGGAGATTTTCAACGCCAAACTGATCGTGACGTCCAGGAGATGAATTAGAGCTGAACAAGTGGGCTGTCAACACGTTTGTCCTCGTGATCTCGGTGGAGATGTGATAGCCGAAGCGGATTTGAACAGAGTTCGGGTTAGAAATCCTAGATTAGAAGTTTTGTCATAACAATTTGGAGAAGAGTGTCTCATCATGTTGTTATGTACCGGTGTAACTTGCATCTAGTGATTTAGTGGAGGGCTATTACACGGACGTGGGCCCCATAGATTAGGAGAGTTTCTTCGAACTGCGTAAACATATCTGGTGTCATTTTTTACGCATTTTTATAGTTACAGCATTCTGTCCAGTAGGCGCTGTAACACCCTCTGCATTATCTGCTTCTGTCTGTGTGTGCTTGTGACAAAGAAGTGTTATAGCACCATGTCTGTCATCTGTTACTACGACAGTGCTGCAGCATATTCTCTACAACATAATTGATTGTTTTGTTTGTATAGTTCTTAATTGGTGATTTCCGCTGCGCCCCCACGAACTTTCAGTACTTACGTAAGTCGACGATGAGCGACATTGAGTAGTTACATGTGAGGTATGCCGCTAAACACGTTTATTTCGGCATACTTGGGAGCATGAATCACACGCATTGAGAATGAAAAAACGTACTATACCACTGAGTGGCATGGTCAATGTTCACGGGGTGATCATCTCAACCCTACTATTATGCTCAAGCAGTGGCTTCAAATGAACTATAGATTTGGTATGCCTTTTTTGGTATTACCGGCTTGAACAATGACATAGATGTTCTTGATCAATCACTTGTATTGATGATTAGGTTAATGAGACTCCACCCTACCCATCTTTTGAGCTTAGAGTGACACTTCGTCACAAGCGTGAATATTATCTTTCTGATAGAATATACCCAAAGTGTTTCATAATTATTAAGTTGCTCTTGAAACCAATCGAACTTAAACGCTTAACGTACAGAAAAGCTCATGAGATGACAAGAAATTATATTGAACGAGTCTTCAGGATGTTGGAAGGTAAGTGTTATTCTCAAAGAAAAATGATGTACATTATGCACACATGTATTATTCTTCATAATATTATTATAGAGGACAACGGGTTTGTAATTTGTCATTACAAGCAACCCACATGGGAGGCACCTACTTACAAAGAAATCAATGAAGAAAAAAATAAAGAAATCACTAAGAAATTTGAAGCTTTGAGATTAAACTTTAAAGACGCACTAACGGTGAATTTGGTTGACCATATTTTTAGTCATTCAAATAAACATTAATTTATGTATCTTTTTTAATGTTATTTTTTACGGAGTAAATTTTATGTAACTTTTATTTAAGTTTTTTAGAACTAATGTAATTTTTATTTATATTTTTATTAATAATTTTTTAATTTTAGTTTATAGACTGTATGTTAAAAAAATAAAAAAAAAGTTTGGTGCCCGTATATTTCGAGTAAAAATATGGTGTAAGTTAAAAAAGGTTAAAACTAATGTGGGAGAGAGAAAAGATTTAAAATCTCAATATTTTCAATGTCCTCAGTGTGATTGTGCTTCGTCACTTGCTCCATGGTCACGACCAGTGTAGTCTTCGTTTTCTCTCTTTCTATTCTTTTTTTATTTCAATTAATTTTTCTATTACAATAATGTCTATTATATTCATAACTTTTTTTGCATAAGTCATTATTTGACAAATAGTATTTCGTTGGAAATACTTTCAGAAGATCAACCCAATGACACTAATATTACATATATAAATTTGACATTACGTCTCACTTATGTTTTCATTCAAACACTTCTGAAACTATATTTTACTCCGTATTATTATTTTTTGACGTTACGTCTCACTTATATGTGTGTGTATATATACATATACATACATACACAGATATATATATATATATATATATATATATATATATATATATATATATATATAGTGATTATATTTTCCTCATATCTAAAAGACATTTATTTACTCATTTTTATAAATGAGCAAATAATACTCTATTCGTTCCAAAAAGTACATTATTGACTATTCAAAAATTACAGAAACTTTCATTTATTTATACGTTTTGATTATTGTTTGATAAAATAAAATACCCCGCATTCTTATCACATCTTGTTTTGTTAAATTTTTGACGTAGTTTTTAAATATATAATTTTTATTTTAATTACTTTACTGATCTTTAAATAAAATATGAATTAAAAATTGTAATTTTTCTTTCTTTTTGCATAACGTGTAAAACATTTTGGGACAGAAAAAGTAATAAAAAAATCAATTTTCAATCAAACACTAAAAGAAGAAAATTAAATGACTTTGAAAAATAATAATTTTTCCGAGGTTTACTTCCTGAAGACATTTTCTTCGTTTCCAAACAATGTAGTTGAACTCGGATTGGTCGATCCAACCGATCGGCCCGCGACCCAGAAAGTTGTCCGGTTCAATTCAACCTTAAAACTCGTTTTCTAAAAACCAGGTGAAACCCATTAGACTCGCTGAATTGTCAAATCCGATTCAACGTGTTCAGTTCACGGGTCTAGAGCGGGTACCCTAGGGTCTTCATGGAAACTACTCCACCATACGGCCAGCTAGGCTATCACGCCTCTTGGTAATCAATCCAGGTGTAAGGAAATACGAATTTTTATGTAAGAAAAATATGAGTAATTTTTATGTACAAAAGAGTTTTATGTAAGAAAAATATTAGTAATTTATCTAAAAAATTATTATCATCCTTAAAATTCAAGTAATATTTACTAATTATAAATAAATATACTACGATTTACCTTTACTTAGTTTATCATTTTAATCAACTAATTATATGTTTGAAATATTAAATGGTACGTAGTATATAAGAATGCTTGTAAAAACAGTTGTAGTTATGTTGATCGTGTCGTTGACCCGGTTCGATTGTTTAACCCTTAACTCACTTTTCTCTCCGGTTCGATGTCTGGTCTGATTTTGAAAACATTATTTCCAAAAAGACATTTAGTGTTGAGATAGTTTGATATAGTCAATGGAATGGTTGGTGGTGTGATAGCTCTAAGAAACAATCAGGGTTCGTTTATTACACAGAATTGACAAAATTGGAATTGAATTGAAAGTTGGAATTCTTTGGATTTTATTTGAATGGAATTGAATTCTTCAAATCTAATTCTTTTTTGGCTCTACTAATTCCAAATCCACATATTTTTGCGTTACTAAATATCATAATTGAAATTATTGTCCCAAATTCTAATTTCATAATTTGATTTCTGTATATCAAAGTGAGCCTCAATGAAAATAACAAGCTCGACCACGATAAATGGAGGAGGATGGAAGCCAAAATTTTCTACATTCATTTTAGTACATGAATCTAGAAGAATGAAAATATAGAGCAACGTAAATATTACTCATTTAAATTTAAGACTGTTTAGTGAGTTCAGAAGGTATGATAAGATATGAATTTTGAAATTTGATAGAAATTATACGGATTTTAAAATTTGAAATGAAATTGCGTAGAAATATTAAAAATCATGATTTAATTAATGATTTGCGGGTGACTGGAAATGAGGGTCATTGGCGGTGACAATAGTAACCGGTAGTAGAGAATGGTCAACGGAAAAGAGAGATATCAAACTTTTATCTTGATATATATCCCATATTTAATTTGGGAAATATGAAAACTCTCCATTTGGAAGATTTTTGATATCTCAAGATATCAAGTTTAATACTCCCTCCGTCCCAAAAAGTTTGTTACGTTTAGAAAAAACCGCGTCCCGTAAAGTCCGTTACATTTCTATTAAAAATCACTTTTACCCCTTACTTTTTCATACCCTACCTATCACATCATACCTTTTTTCTAATAATCTACCCATCACATCCTACTTTTACCCATCACATCAAGGGTATTTTTGGAAAGTCAATACCAAAATATCCCTCCCTTAATTTCCCAAAAAGCCAAACCGTCCCATTCTTTTTGGGACGGAAGGAGTATTTCTTTTGGCTTCAGCAAACACGAACACACCTTAACACAAGAAAAATGAATAAAATATATTTAAAAATGAAAAATCAAAAGCAATGAACATTCACGCCCGACGAAAGTTATTTTAGCCTCGTCGGAATTCAAATCATTAATCTAATAATCTCTCATTTAGAAGAACTACAAATATTTTCACTCATAGATAATTTGACAAATCATAACTCAATTAGCGTGTGTTTGGTGAGTAAACAAGAAATGGATTTTGATATTTTCAGATATCAAAATTCTTTTTGGGTGTTTGGTGAAGCTAAAAAATATCGAATTCGATAACTCTAGATAGCACAAATTCTTCAAATGGAGGGTTTTGATATCTCCCAAATTTGGGAGATATCAATATATGGGGGTTTGATATCTCTTTCAACCATTGATCATTCTCTGTCACCAGCTAACATTGTCACCGCCAACCATCCCTGTTGTTGGTCATCCCCGCTTATCAGTGACTAAATCATGATTTTAAATCTCTCCAAAAAAATTTGTTTTAGATTTCAAAACTCTTACATTTGTCCCAAATTTAATAACACATATCTTATCATTTCTTCATCACTCACCAAACGGGCCATTAATCTTTCTTGATCTCCAGAAGTTTTAACAAGTGAAGCAAAACTAACATTTTTCAACTTCGTTTGGGAACAATTTATTTCTGATTAGTATTTGTATTTTAGATAAAATTTAAGTATGCATATTCATTTGAAAAATGTTACTCTGTAACACTCAAGACTACTATTGCATAACATTTCGAAACGCCGTGTTAAGGTGCCAGTGAATATTGTGCAGTTGACAAGGGAAGGAGTGTCAAAGGGGTAAGACCCAAGTTCGATTCTTGGCAACTACGTTGGGAGGCAACAATGCTAAGCATAGGGTCTCTGTAAGTACCAGGTGCAGGTTTCACTCTTTGCCACTAATATGCTATCAAAATCTAATTTATCTTTTCCCAGTGACCGTTCGACCGGGTCTCAGGAGACTCTCGGAGATGAGGCTCATCCTTTTGTTAAGCTCTAATACTACTACCAAATAGAGCTTTCATCATTTTTTTGTCATCCCCTTCGCATCCTCACTAATCAAACATAGCTGTTGTAGGAATTTGAGGAGGAAGAACACTGCAGAGCAGTGTTGACGAATAACTCGATAGTATAACGAATCGCGTACAAACGCTTTCAGATCAATAAAGTTATTTCGGGGTATACGAAATACTTCAATCGGATAAGACGTTAATCAAGAACAAGCACACGAAATCGAATCCGTCAACCCATACCACGAGACTCTATTTATAGATAGAGTCAAAAATTCATGACCAGACATGAACGTTCGCGTAGACCCGTACGTTTGCGTGGAGAAGACGAAACACATGAGAAGAAGAAAGCGTTTCAACAAAAGGTCTCCTGCGATTTTAGAGTCAAATTCGACGTTTATCCACTAGTTAGCCACCAATATATATCCACTTACATAGGCGGATCGGACTACATCAGTATTTCTATTGAGCGTTCAAAATCTTTCCCCATTTTTGCAACCCTAATATCTGTTGGTCAAAGGCGCGCTTCTCAACTTCAACCTAACATGGCTGGAGGGGGTAACTTCATCCATCGAGTTCTCTCCTACGTGATCAATGAAGTCCTTGTCAATGGGCTCGCCAACAGGTATTGGATTTTTCGTGCTTCCGGCTATGCTTTAATAGTTCGTGTTTATAAATTTGTCGACGGTGGAAACATCCGTAATTTGATTAGGTAAATTACTCCGCATATGCTTTCGTTTTACATGCAATCTGAGGAGGTGGATGATGGGAATTGTTGATTAGAGATTATAGTTGCAATTCATTGGACTTTTTTGGCCAATTAGAAATTAGGTTTGTTAATTTTCAATTGAAGCTGATGGCAGATTGTCGTAGGCTTGTAATATTTCCAGAGATGTCTGCTCTGTAATTCTATTAGTTCGAGCAGTGACATGCATGGGATTTTACAATTCGGAGGAATTGGCAGAACGAGTATATATGAATATCGCATACTAATGCATACGGTGATATGGAGTATAAATTTTATATTTTGGAGTAATTTTAGCTATTTTTTTAGATGGACAGTTTTTCACATTCCATCCCTTTGTATCTGCCATTGAGTCTGAGGCTGCTCTGTTTATTTATTTACTGATTCATGGGGTGTCATCATTCATCTGGGCTATAAAGCACTCTTTTGTCACTACCTATCATTTTTTTGTGAATTGATTTTAGCATTTTTAAGGAGTGTAATTAGAGTGTGCATGGTTGGTAAAGAGAATTATCCATCAGAAATGTGTTGTTTTTCGCATGTGATAAGCAACTAGTTGGATTCAGACTATGCAATCAGCTGAGTTAGGTGGAGAATGCATATTACAGCTTACATACTGGAGCTGTCAGCTTTTCTATAATGTCTTCTAGGGAGAAGGTTTTGTGGGTTTTGAAAAAGAAAATGTATTGGTTTTTATAGGTTTTATGGTTCATTAGTTCACCTAATGATGACTAATAGTAGTCTTGTGATTATTGCAGAGATTTTTTAGGTTTAGCTGCTTTGTTTATCTACTAAATCATAGCATGTCAACTTGCCAAAAATTAGTCTTTTATTACCTGTGTTATTTGTATACTTTGTAAAGTTGAGATTCTCATATGTTGAGTGGTCTGTGTACACTAATCTGCTGCAATTTCTTTTTGTGACTTCATATATTGAATTGATTATTCTCACATTTTGACTTCATTTTTTTTCAATTTAATATTTCATTGTATTTTTGCATCCTAAGACATTTTTCAAAAGAAGGGGTCTTTATCCTATTCCCCTGCTTTTTGTGTGTGGAATGTTATAGTCCTTTCATCCTATAAATAATTTCAGGTTTGTAAACATATTCTTGCCCCCCCCCCAAAAAAAAAGAGTAATTTGAACAAAAAGAAGTTAATTTTCATTATTGTTGATGTTTTTAATAAAAAGTTTCCCAAACAGCTATGCTTATTCTCTAATAAAAACAACTAAATAATTTTCAATATATAACTATATTTCATGATCATCAATAGTTTTAAGGACCTTACTAAAATTTAAAATTTGTGCATTTGTAAAAGTGACTCTTTATAGGCTGGAGGGAGTAATGCATTACTATAGATAAAATACGCCACCCATCTTAAAAAAGTGTCTAGTTTCATCTAGGGGGGCAAGGCACAACTCTGATAATTATCCATCTTAAACATATAATACTCCCTCTGTCCCAAATTAGTTGTCCCAAGTTTGTCTTCACGGAATTTAAGAAAAGTGTTGAAAAGTAAAAATGAGTAGTTGAAACTCTTGAAATTTGATTAGAGGAAAGATAAAGGTTTTGGACCAAAAAAAACTTTACTTTATTAGGAAAGTAAAGAAGTGAGGCCATTATTTTGGGACGGACTAAAAAAGAAAGTGAGACGATTAATTCGGGACGAAGGGAGTATTACATTTATTTGTTTATTTGTGTTTTATAAATTGAATACTCGTATTTAGTGGTTAGCAGTTAGCACGTCTGGAACTTTTGACTACCTTTTAGTGGAAATACATACATTAAGTCTAATTAAATATAGATTCTTTTGTTGCAAAAGGACACCTTTTTTTAGACAAAAAAGTTTTGGAACGTAATTTTTTCTCTTTGGGACAGTTGGAGCAACTTATTTTGCCTGAATGTTAACATTCTCTGATCAATTAGCAGTTAGCTAATAACTAAGTACTAAGCATACGATGTTTTCATTTTTAGCCCATCATTCCAGAGATTTGCTGTGAGGACATCCAGAAAGATCGAGGAGGTTTCTAAGTTAGGTATATGTCAAATTTTCCTTTCCTTTGGTGTCTCCTTTCTTGAATGTTTTGTATTTGTTAGGGTTTCAGCCATAGCAAATGAGAAGTGTTATCCATTCGTCTCATTACTGTTTCAATGTATGTTTCCAGCTGAACAAAAGAAGAAAGAGATCATGGAGCAAATGAATGATGCATCCAAAAAGTTCTGAGGTTGTACTTTCTTAAAACTTCATTTTATTGACTTACCAAATGCTCTACTTGTTCAAATAGCTCTGATTTACTTTTTCTATACTTTGATTGCAGAGAGGGTAAAAAAGGAGTGCAGTTCTTGCAGTATTTTAAGAATGATGTGGTGGGGGTTGGGGTAGCATTCTTATCTCAAGATATTAGTCACCATAAAAAGACATGATTTTAGTGCAGCTACCTTATTATAAAGCATGCTGTGTGTAAATTTGATTTACATACCTGATTCCCCTGTGTTTTCGACTGCAATTTCTTATACTTCCATCTGATGATGATGAAGATATCAATGTTCCCCCCTATCCAAATCTGTTTTACCTTTTAAGAGTCTGTTCTTTAGGGCTTGAACTTTTAACTTCCAGTTTCTTTCAACTATTCTCATTTTCTTCCAACTTTTTCTACTTCTCAATCAATTACTCTAAAAATGAAATATTTTAATATGATTATTATTATTACTATTATAATTATGACAACTGTTATGTTTATAACTATAGTTTATAAATTATTTTGTATTATTTTCATCTCACTATTTTTACGATTCACATTCATTATTTTTTTTCTTCAATTTTTTAATATGAATAAGACAATTTTTTATATATTAGTCTACATGATAAAACAGGAAAACATCAATATGTTAAATTATATTAAAAAATTATGGATAAAATAGTGACATTGAATGTTTTTTGAATCTATCTTTATATAAGACCTCTCATCTTTCCCTTTACACTCTCCGTCTCCCTGTATTTGTCCACTTTCATTTTTACACACCATCCAATGCACTTCTTTAATCCATTTTATCTTATAATTTGTATATTAAAAAATTATAAAAATTATATATTAATAATTTATATGTTAAGACAAATCAAACAAGATCACATATGACTATATTTAGGCTTACACATTGAGAGAATTTGATAAATCAAAGTGTTTAGATGAACAGTTTCAAAAGTCAAATGTGGACGAATACAGAGTGACGGAGGGAGTATTACTTAAAATTTGTTCATTTTTCTAATTTTTATAAAAAAATTGTAAGTCAAAATAGTTTAGAGAAAAAAGACTAAAATAGATGTAAAATATAAAAAATTTAAAAAAAAATTATGTCTTTATTCCAAAATAGAACTTCAATGAAAATAAAATGTCAATTATGAAAAAAAATATATTGATTACATTATGTGACATGTTTGATATTTAAAACAGTGACATTGAATGTTTTATGAATCTATCTTTATATAAGACCTCTCATTTTTCCCTTTATTACTTAAAATTTGTTCATTTTTCTAATTTTTATAAAAAAATTGTAAGTCAAAATAGTTTAGAGAAAAAAGACTAAAATAGATGTAAAATATAAAAAATGTAAAAAAATTATGTCTTTATTCCAAAATAGAACTTCAATGAAAATAAAATGTCAATCATGAAAGAAAAAATAACTTTCGTTACATTATGTGACATGTCTGATATTTAAAACAAAATCTTGTAATATATAATTTATAAGTACAAATATATTTTGAAGTGCAATATAACCACAAAGACTTTATAAAATTTAATATTTTATATTTATGCTAACTTTATATTATAATTATTTTTTTACAAAAGTAGCTTTTTGTATTTAAAAAATAACAACACTTTTTTTTGTATCTTAAAGACATTTATTAAAATAACGTGATGATGATGATGGTGATAATATAATATAATATAATATAATATAATATAATATAATATAATATAATATAATATAATATAATATAATATAATATAATATAATATAATATAATAATATAATATAATATAATAATATAATATAATATAATATAGTAAAATATAATCTAATATAATATAATATAATATAATATAATAATCAATTATTAATTAATTACTACGTATTATTTAATACTTCTATGAAATTCCTCATTTGTAATTCTAATAGAAAGTTACCCTTAACATATTTCATTTACCATTATTATGGAGTATTAATTAATGCTTACTAAATTTAATACATCCACGTATGTATCTAATGAGTAAAATGCATAACATTTCCATATATTACTCTTACATATGGACGTAAAAAAATTCACCTCTTTTTAAATATAGTGTAGATGTATGAAAAATTAAAACTCAAAAGTAAAATTCATGTATAATAAAACTTGAAACTAATTTTCAAAAGTATTTGTTAATGGTGAAATATAATAGCCACACATTTTGTGGGGGCTGCCGCCCCTGGACCCCAGGATAGCAGGGTCCAAGAGGCGGCAACCCCTGGCGGGGTCCAAAACAGTAAAAGACTCGAACTAGTGGATAAACGTCAAAATATAGTCTAAAACCACATGAGACTCTTCGTTCAAACTCGCACCTATCTTCTTCCCTGCGCGAACATACACAAATGTCTACGCGAAGGATCATGTCCGACCATGAAAATTTTAGACTCTATAAAATAGAGTCTCGTGGAATGGATTGGGTGACCAATTCTTGAGTGCTCGTCCTTAATTAACGTCTTATCCAATTGAAGTATTTCGTATACCCCGAAATAACTTTAATCTGAAAGCATTTCATACGCGATTCGTTATACTATCGAGTTCATTGTTTAACACTACTTCGCAGTGTTCTTCCTCATAGAAATCCAACAAACTTTACTTTGTATATCTCATGACGGATATGATTGTTCTTCGTGACAATTTTTGGCATTGCAACTCAATGGTATTTCGTGAATGTATAGTTGCAAGGATAAACATTTCACTTATTTGTTCAAGGTATTACGGTAAAGTTTAGACAAATAAATCAATTTTATATTTTACCCAAATATGATTTAAAATATGTAAATGAAATACAATAATAGAAACGTCATTTGCTACAATTACATTGATATTGTTCAGTAAATGAAATACACAAGTAAAAAGTGCATCCAGAGTACGATACAACTTTTCACTACAATCCGGTTAGATCTCACAATCGGGTCAGGGGAGGGCGTGCGGACACAAACTTTGCCTCTACGCAAAGTAGAGGGTGTAATTTCAGTGCATGAGATTTGAAACTGACATGGGACAGTATTCATTTCTTCATTTAAATAATAATATAGTCAAACTCAAATGTGTACACATTCTCCTGAGATGGGTCACAAATCAAAAGGCACAGCAACCCTAAATCAAACGCCCAAATTATATATATCTATAACAAACCATAAATTAACTTAACTGTGTATCACTCATCATCAGCTAGTTATTCAGCTGGCAGTGCATTGTGATCCTTATGCCTCAAAAACCAACCATGACACAGAAGAACCGTTATTTACAACATAACAGTCCCCGCATTTGTAAGCGGCGGCGGGGAGAGAAATGGAATTAAAAGACTAATAAAACTGCTCTCCGAAAACTGACACCAGAAAAACCCCCCAACATATTCTGTATGCCGCGACAACAGTATGCCACCTGAAGGGACACCAAGAAATAAATGGGTTTTCGATGAAGAAACAACAACATGCCACCTTACTAAATACACAGCCTATATACCGGTCTTATTCTTTTCAACTTTTAGCTCCAGTTATCTAGTCTCTAATTTCTAGACTCTAGTAACAAAATTTAAATGAGTTGTATAGCAGCATCTAGACTCAAGTCACCTCTCACCAGACTCAAGGTTCCAATCTCCAGATTCCAGCTACCCTCCAATTAAAAATTAAGGGGAACAGAACATGGTCGTAATGGTGCTTAAGACTAAAACCATAGGTTATGCCTTTGTACTAAAATGAAATTCTGGTTTTGACCTGACATATATATTAAAAAATTGTGGTTGAGAATTACTAAGCATAGGAGAGAAATATTATAAACCATACAATTCTTTCCTTCATATGAAAGATCAACCATATTATGGGACAGTGGAAAAGAAAGCAGAAAACTTTTTTGAGAAAAATAGAGGTAAAATGGCTTCTGTACTTAAACGGGAAAGTGCTTTTAACTGTAATACGCGTGTTTTTAAATGGGACAGATGGAATGCAGAATGGGTAAAATTGTTTTGGCTTTAAACAAAAGCTTTATGATGTGTAAGAGCAGCGGAAGACTCACCTTCACCATTCTTCTTCACCCCTCCAATGGGATCACGGGAAAGCTGTTGAACCTTAAACAAGAATGCCCATCAAGAAATCACCACCTACGGCATCTTCAATGCTAGCTTTACTTGGGCCAAGAGTGATGGATGCATTTTACCAATGGCTGCATTGAAAGACTCTCCATGAACTGCTGAACATGTCTGAAGATTTTCTCTCACTGAATTCTCTAGAGAAATCTGCCTGATGGGGTCAGAGAATTTAACCTACACCACAACTCACTTTAGCTATAAACTCGCATTCAACTTTAACCAAACAAGAAACACTGCTTATACCTGTCTCCTCCTCAACTCTTTACTTGGAAAATTAGGCCTGCTACAGCTGTTGCAGTCATTCCACAACATGATTTCAGATATTCAATCATGGTTTAATGCTCACACACATGAAGAGCCATAGGGCACTGGTTGAAATGTTGCCATATGACCTTGAAGTCATATGTTCTAGCCCTCAGAGGGTAATATTTTAGTAAATTATACCCTTCTGGTGGGATACTTCTATGGATCCTTTCTAAATGTGGACACTTTGTGTGCGTGTGCGCGCACGCGCGTGCGCACATGGGTGCGTGTGTGCACACGTGTGTCTGCGCATGTGTAGAAGATCCAGAGAATTATAAAAAATTAAAAAAAAGCTCATCAAATAATACCTGGACTCTTCTTCAGTTAGTTGCTCTTCTCCCTTGGCTAGTATTATACTAGTGCATACACTGGAATTAATCTGACGCATTACTTTTATGTGTTCAAAAGAATAGAGTGTGCAATAATAAAGTAAATCAAAACAAAAGCATAGTGAATGATACCTTAGAATCTGTTCAAGCCTATCCAGTACTTGAGGATGCCTTAAAGTCAAAACTATGGAAAGAGCCAAACCGATCACCTTATTCTGCTTAAATGTAACATTATCAACCTGTGACATAAAGTGACTAAAAATAACTTTAGACCATTGGATCCATCCAATATCAGAGCGCAGTACATATAAATAGGATTATAGATTTTAAGACCCCTATTTGTATAACAAAAACAACCTAGTTGAATCCCATAAAAGTAGGGTCTGAGGAGAGTGTGTATGCAGACCTTACCCCTGCTCGAAAGTAGAGAGGCTTCCAAAGAGATTCCCGGCTCAAGCACCACATGTAATCGCGTACGCAGCCTGACCCCTATGTTTCAAACATAGAGCGGCTGTTTCCGAATGACCCATGATGAGCTTTGAAAGTTGCATTGACTAACTACTACTTCAGTATAAAAGAAGCGCATACAATTTAAAGAGCCATTTTGCTTTCTTCCATCATACCCCTATATGTAATTTAAAGACTTTCTTGTTTATCAACTCACCTTATCAAGCCACATGTCAACCAGGCAAAGAAGTATGTTTTCTTCAGAAGGGAAACCAGCTTTCTGAAGATTTGCTGATAGCAAAGGCTCAGATGTTAACTGTGCAAGATAACTTGTATTCATGACAAAAATCCGTGCCAGCAAAGCTGCAGCAGACACTTTTGCTATTGTCTTTAAAGGATCACGGTCATCTTCTCGCGTCAAGCATACAACAATTAATTTCTATAACCAAGCATGAAAATCATAAATTCATGAAACTAACCCAGAAGAAAAATCTATGCAAGCACTTTTCAAGGCCCAATGAAAAACGAATATTAAACACATAAAGAAATGAACAATGCTTACTTGTACACTTATGCTCATTAGTTGTGGCACTTCCCCTGGAAAACACTTCAATATTGCAGAAGTATCAGTTATTGTTTATAGATTTCTACAAGTGTTAGCTGTTGCTTTTCTTTCTTGCAGAAATACAAAATACATTTCTATTATTGGAATTTTTATGCTAAAACAAATTCAACATGATGAGAGATTAATCTGATTAACAATACTTTAAAACTTGGATCTGTCATTAGAAAATTTTAATTTCCACTAAGAGTTTTAACCTTCAATTTCTAAGGTGTCATTCTTCTTATGCTTTCTATTCTCATTTTCACTATCCTGATAACACAAAAAAACAGTATGTGTTTGACATGATTGTATTTGATTTAAGCCTCTGAAAAAATAAAACAGAACTTTGAAAACTATTTGAAATATATTTCCATTTTTAAATTATTGATAATTTAATTATTTATTTAGAACTTTTTTCATAGTAATATACTACCTCTGTCCCACAATTAATTTGGCAGTTTGACTTTAAGGGGTTTATGACAAATGTTGAAAACTGAAAGTGTGGTTAAAATTTGTTTAGAAGCGCCTCTGAAGCACATGTTCATTTTCTAAAAAAGGAAATAGGTGAAGTGTATAGTTTTGGAATGTTTCGGACGGACAAAAAAGAAAATGTAAAGTAAATTGTCAGACAGATGGAGTAATACATCTATATACAAGGCATAATAGAATATAATTGTATAATGTATATTATGTGATTACTCCTTCCACTCTGTTTTGCTGGTCCCATCCCGGTTTGCTATACTTGTCAATTTCAATTCAACTTATCTAAACATTGATGCAAATATAAAAATAGATATTATATTTTTAAAACTACATCAAAATATATACTCCATCCGTCAAGAAAAAATTTCATAGACTTTACAGGAATTGTTGGAAAGTAGTGTGATTGGGAATCGTTTGGAGGAGAGAGAAATGATGTGGATATCTGAGCCACATATTTATCTTCTTAAAACGAAAAAGGGGAAGTGTGAACTCTTTTTGGGACATCCATTTAGGGAAAGTGTGAATTTCTTTGCCGGACGACGGGAATAAAAAACATAAAGTTACTTGACTATGTTGTTTTATCAAATGATAAGCAAAAACATGACAGAAAATATATTGTCGGCCTGTGAATAGTGAACGAGCCTAGTTCCGGAAGGAGTTTATAATATGCCTTGACAGCTGCATACAGCATTCAAATATAATTCCTATTGTCCAATTCCATTAAAATGATTTAAGATTTAATTCATATATATTGTGGAATAATATTTCAAAATACTATTCAATATTTGTATTGTGAAATATATTTCCTTATTAAAGTAACAAAAAATAATATACTTTGAACTTAGTAGAATATAAATAATAGAGTGCTGTTTTAGTACTTTTATTCAATAAATACTTATAGCAAGTCAAATTACTCAAATATTTATTTTCAGATAAAAAAGGACCCACGATCATTCTTTTGATTCGGGGGTCTTATAGAAACCTCTAAGGTTTGGGTTCAAACCTTTAGAATTATATGATTTATTGAAGAGTTCATAGGATGAGTGGATTTTACTACCTGAACTAGAATATCAATCACGGGAAGAACTGATAGCAGCCCACGTTCATTGACATTTCCAACCACCAGATTAAGAAACTCGGTGACACTAGAAGCATGCATACTGACAAACTCCCTTCCACCCAAAATTACATAGTCCTCAATAATACTGGCAGCAACCTAAAAGCTCACCTAACGTCAGTGCAGTACAGTGTAGGAATCATCCCTATAAAATTTTCTTTTCAAAGTTCAAACAAACCTTCAGGTGATCAAAACTTCTTTCCAGAATTTTTACCAGACATGGGAAACATCCCAGTAGTTCTGATACCATTGATGGGGCATTAATGAGTGTGGCTTCCCATAACTGCATTATTGTAGCTAATAAATTCAGTTGAACAATATTCCAGACATTGATTCAGCTCTATACTCAGAAGAACAAACCTGCATGGCATCTTCAAGTAGCTCATCTGGCCTATTTACATTAATTACACTTTGTAAAATGGGGAGCAGTATGTTGTAACAGATGGGTGACTGATAACCAAGAGCTAAAACAAAATTTTTTAGTGCAGTAAGAAGCTGAATCTGCAAAAGGCTTTCACCAGAAGATTCCTCCCATGCCTAATTAAATGCACCAAAGCATAGAAATTTTACAAATTAGTTGATGAAGAATCGCTGGACAAATGGTATAACTCTACGACTTTATCAATCATTTCATCTTCATCATTACATGAATAATAAAATATGTAAATTCTTAATTGTCACAAGTTATCCAGTATATAACTATACACACTTGTATCCCCACTCGTGATCCTATTTGCAGTCGGACAAAACAAAAGTATAAATGGTACTTCATATAAAAATCGGCTCCAGATATACAGATTTAGACAATATATATTACATGATCATCCTAGCCTATAGATAGCAGTCTAATTATATGAACCAGAAATTTAATAAATAGGTAAGTTTCCACTTAATGAAAAAAAAGAATATAATCCATGTCCCCAAATCAGACTCATATTTGCTTTTGGCATGGTTATTAGGTAAAATTGTGTGGTTGAGACTTATTTCGAAAGGGCAGAAAATATATGAACCAAAAAATTCCTTTCTTAAAAATTAAAATGAAATGAGAAAATTGTGAAAAGAACAAATGGAGAGTGAGAAGCTAATTTTGGATAGAGCTAGCATTGAATGAGTGGCATCAGATTAAAGAAAAATAAACAAATATAAAACACCACCTTCTGGAAGAACACCACCAACTTGTTTGCAAATGGAAGAACTTCAGTAATGTGAGCTATAAGAGCAGAAATTGTATTCAAAACTTGAACCTGAAAGTTCCATGAAAACAAATTGCTAGTAAGCATTGATGAATAAAGTAATTCTCAAAAGCATCAAGTGTGGAAGGTGGAATCAAATGATAGCTAATACCTATGCCTGGTTTACAATAAACAATGTGTGACCCCCCACTAATATGTCATTGAATAAAAGAGATACAAAATTAAAACAAAAAAGGAAAATGATGCATGCTGCCATTACTAGTTAGCAAAATCATCTATTAGTAGCAGATCATCCAATAAACGGTGGAAAAGCTCAAAAGTAGTTATAGTATTCATGAATTAAAGAAACATGTATATGTATACCTTGGAGTCAAACTCTTGAACTTCCTCTACCAATTTGAAGCATAGATCCCAACAAATAGGAAGAAGGTCTGAAAACTCAGACTCATTGAAGTTTGCATCTTCAATATGAAAATACAACGAACGACATGCTGCCAGCTAAAAGCACAAATACGAAGAATGAAACAAAAAAACGTGTGCTCGTATTAAAGAAAACGTTTATAGAGTGTAGAGCTTCTCAAATAGAGAAATAGAGTGCCAAAATGGATACAAAGATATATAAGAACCACTGTGAAATAGAAAAGAACAGCATACCCTGACACATAAATCTCCACCCTGAAGCAAATTGATCAGAGCACAGTACACAGCCCGCCTAGTATCATCTTTAATCTGTGAATAACATAAGCAATATATTATATGTATCATATGTACTCCCAGGGGTCATGGTAAGTTGTACGTACATCCAAAACTCCCCAGACCCTAGTTTCGAGTTAGATTAACTCAGTATGTTTGATTTGGATTAGATGACATTGACTGATTGACAAAAGGAGATAAATTATACTGAATAGCATAGAAGTAATTATCTATAACTAGAAATGGAAAAATTACTTCTGAAACCCATTGTCCAAGGATTAATGCAACTTTTCTGTGTATGATCCGCATATTTGGGTGATGATTTGAGAGCTCTATAGATAATGCGCCATTAAACCTGGAAAAACATTTATGGAACATAAATTTAACAATGTATCTGCTATTCATCACCATCAAGTGCTATATTTTAAGACTTGAACAAATCTACACGTGTCTTTTCTCCAGAACAATGTTTGGAAGTTTTGAATGTTTATATTAACGACAAGAGTATAATATCAATTAACAAGTCCAAAAAGGGAAAGCCATAATCATTTGGAAAGTCCACAAGCTTTATAGGACATTAGGACAAATACAATAGTGTGAAGTAGAGCTTTGTTGGACATGAGTTCATATCCCTTTATATATTCTGGAATTTTTTTTGGTTTTGATAAATGACAAACAGGATGATTAAAATCAACGATGATCAAAAATTTATTTTCGTATTGAGAAAAGCAAAGAGGCGTATCAAGAAATTTACGGGGATAAAAAAAACGCTCACCCCTACGCAAATTTTTTTGAAGTGAAGTGAAGATTCTGAAGACTTTTATTTTTATTGAGTCTAGAAATTTTTGTAAGGATGACAATAATTTTTGTATAAACAAATTAATTTTTTGAGGGACAAATTATTATTTTCTGAGTCAGTTGAAAAATCATTTTTTCTCTGTCTAAAAATAATTTACTGAGCCAGTTTCAAAATAGTGTCAAAATTTCTTAAAATATTTTTCAAAGATACACAAATTTTTTGTGTTAAGAAAAATATTCTTTAAATATTTTGTGTACACCGTTTGACACACAATATTTTTGGGACTCAATTTTAACACCAAAAATCATTTTTTATTTCATTTTTGAATTTGAATTAATTCATTTCAACCCTTATGATTTGTTTGATTATGGGAGCCTGTTCATCCCTGAATTCTTGTCCAAAACAAATCATTAAACTCCAATTTGTACATCCCACTCGCACAATGTTTTGGGTCTTCTATGTTTGGCCCTTGTTCGTCAGGGGATCGATCCTCTTCAATGGATCAATCACCGTGTAGAGTGCTTCGGAAGTGGATCAATCCACTCCATTGGATCGATCATTTTATTTTCCTAGATTTTCATCGGAGGATCGATCATTTTATTTTCCCAGATTTTCGTTAGAGGATCAATCATTTCCCCTGGATCGATCCCCCGTGACTTTGACAAAAAGTCATTTCCGGTTTTTGTCTCCATAGGATCGATCCTCTGCCATGGATCGATCCCCTGTGTTGTTGACAGAAATCCTTTCTCGATTTTTTACTCCAGGTGATCGATCCCCACCAGTTAATTCTGTCAAAAACACTTCATCCCTACCTCCAACAGATTTATTTCTTTCAACCCTATAAAATCTCTCATCCTCCTTCATCAAACATATATCTCTTGCACTCCATTCCTTTATTACTCAATATTCAACTCTTGCTTCAATCTTCCTCATCAAATACATTATTTTGAGAGTTAGAAATATTTTTATTGAGTGCTAAAGATATTGTCATCCATAGAGCTTTCATATTTCAAACACTACTTGCTCAAATTGTGTGAGCTTTCATTCTTGTGTTGTAAATCTCAATCTTATTTGAGTTGTTGTTAAGACTTGTGTGACTCAAGTCTTGTGGTAAGAAGTTGAGGCTTGTGTGATTCAAGTTCTCGAGTTGTATCGGTTTTTCAAGCACTCGTTGAAGCTTGAAGATTAGTAGGACCTTTGAGAGAGTCTCTCAGGGGACTGGACTAGCCACGAGGTGGTGAACCAGTATAAATCACGGTGTACTTCTTCCCTTGCTCTTTACGTTATTCTTGCGATTTTTATTCCGTTAACACACACGCGAAAAATGCACATTCTAGTGAACAACTCTATCCACCCCCCTCTAGAGTTGCACTTTTGTCTAACAAGCTTTAGATGAGTGTCTATTTGAAAAGCAAACAACCAAAGTATTATTGACGTCACAAAAGCCTAGACCCTGTGAATTACGCCGGGAACAAAAGGATAGTTGGAACAAAACAATCCAGTCTGCAAATATAATCAGGCCACTCAGGCCAATTCTATTAGGTTGGCCTGGGTTGGAGTAAAAAGATGTAAACAAATACATTGATGTTGAATCAGACTGCTTAACACCTCCAAGATTTGGGCCAATAGCTAGCCATGTAAATATGTAATAAATACGCTTGCCATCTTGGACAATCAGTTCCTTTTTGTCATTTATATATTCATTGAAATTTATTCAATTCACAAACCAACAAAATTAGAATTCTATTTAGATTTTACGTACTTCTTATTAAATTTTGGGAGATAAAAAACAGTTCATGAAATTTGTCAATATGTTATTTAGTGACTAAATTTCTTCAATCATATAACAATGCATTATAATCATACATTACTGAATGATAAAGATGTGCAACAACAACAACGACCCAATTGGATCCCACACGAGTAGGGTCTGGGGAGGGTGTGTTTACGCAGACCTTGCCCCTAACCAGAAGTAGAGAGGTTGTTTCCATGAGACTCCCAGCTCAAGTTGCACATCAAAAGATCACAATAGATACACAAAACAAGAAAGCACAGCTACAACGAAATGAGAGTACTAAAGCACCAATCACATAGAATGAAAACTAAACTATTGTAAATAAAGTTACAAAATGAGAGTACTACAAACAAATAGCAAAAAGCATACAAGCCCTACAAAGCACACAACAGCAACACCCGCTAGCGCAAGGCACCAACCCAGCTACTTTAATCCTATCTCTCCAAACGATCCTATCTAAGGTCGTATCCTCAATAAGAGCAAAAAGTTCTAAGTCCTGTCTAATCACCTCCTTCCAACCCATCCCCTACTTCCCCCTACTAACGTAAGCGTCTCGCATCTCCACTCATGAGTGTCAGCATTTCGCCACACCTCAACATAAGCCTCTCAAAGCTTATCTTCCAATGGCATCATGCCTAACTGACCTTGAATAACTTCGTTCGGAATCCTATCCAGCCTCGTCTGCCCACACATCCACTGCACCATCTGCATCTCTCTTGCATGCAAACACTGCACGTGAAGCCACATAGAGCATTGCTAGTCTGACTACAGACTTGTAAAACTTGCCTTCCATTCTAGTCGAAATCTTCTTATCACAGAACACTCCTGAAGCCAACCTCCACTTAGCCCAAGCTGCTCCAACACAATCCACAACATCCCCGTCTAATTCCCCGTCTGCCTGAATTACCGAGCCAAGATACTGAAACTTGTCAACCTTGGGCACTAGATGAGAGTCAATCCTCACTTCAAGGCTTCAACCATACTATATGATATGGCCATGAGCGGTTATGGGGAAGTTCAAAAACATTACCATTATCTGTACTTTGTTTTGTTTGGAAGTTCAAAATTTTATTTTAAATTATTTCATAAAATTGTCGACACAAATTTGATTCAAAGTATAAATGTGTTGTGGGTGTGGCCGTATCAAAATAGTCACTTGTGATATCATATGAAATCTTGCAAAAATAGTTGCTATTAATTAAGGCGACACAAAAGAAACCAAGAACAAAAAAATCAACAATTGAAACAAACACCCTTTGAGCTATTATGCAACTAGAGGATTATGCTTGCTAAAGTAGCATTGGTTTAAATGGTGTTCTACCCATTTCTTTTATTAAAGTAATGTGATAATTTTTTGGAATTAAATGCCTGTGGCTTCATGTAAGAGTTTTGAAAACACTAAGCAAGCCGGTGCCAATAAATCCTGGAAATTCAGGTTAATCCACTTCAGAAATTATCATAAGCATTGACACTGAATAGCCCCGAATGACCCAAGTGTGTTGGACTGTATAGCTTGTCTATCACAGCCAAAATCAATAAAGAATGCTATGGTCAAAATGACAATGATATTGAAACAGCAAATTGTGGAACAAAAAATATCAATTGTGAAATTGCACTTACCAGTCTTTAAAGCTCAGATGATTTGAAAGTTCATAATAAACGTATGCAGCAGCACCATAAGCTGCATCCTTAAGTAGGAATGGTGGTGAAATTTCATTTACTGAAAAGGGACAGCCATGCATAGCTTCTTGCAATATAGAGAGCACGACAGGTCCTAACAACTGAAAATATCAACATCAAAAAATACCTATCATTTTCTCAAGAAATAGAGAAATTCCTTCCAAGAATTCAAAAAATTAAACACAAATTATTCAATTGAGCCTACCTCATTATGAGTTTCAAATAAAATGATATACAGTGCTTCAGCACATGGCCGTAGTTTTTCTGACCATAGAACTGAATCCTGCTCATGATGAAATAACTCAGGATTCTGGTACCACTCTGCCAAATCACTTGCTGTGAGAACGAAGTACCTGTTTTGTTATAGGGAAAATTTCCATAATCAACACATCAGATAAAATCAACTAAACATATAAACAACATGCTAAGCTTTGCAAACAAAATGGATTCATCATCAATCTGACTACATGAAAGAACTGTAATTTCTGGCTCTTTTTTCAACGAAGGCTTTAAAGCAATTTGGATACTTAACCTGGGGTTTCCTTCACAGTTTTTCCTATGGTACACAGTTTTCTTCGTAGTTTTCCTATAAATGTAATTTTAAAATTAAACTAAGAGCAATAAAATGGCTTAGTTACATGTTAGGGCTGCCGTATACCTACGATAGATAGTACAGTTATTTCATAGCATAGTCTGGAAGTTGGACATAGTTGGCAAACATGAGATGAACTGCTGAAAAATAGGTGATGTGAGCAAACTATCCATTTATAAATCAGACTGCAGACAGCTTACCACTTCTTGAACCCAATACGTTTAAAATAACTAGCACCAAGTATAGTGAACTATAAATGTTTACCGAGTTTCAATTACTTTTCATTCCAAGATACATTTTTAGGGCTTGGGAGGATGATAGATGATATCCAAATCCAGTGCAAATGCATAGAAAAGAAATTGACCTACCACTGGGCTAAAGTGCTAAACATAGAACTAGATAATAAATTTAAAATGCTTTATTAAAAGGAGAAAATGAAAGAAGTACATATAGATGGAAGACTTATAAATGACATTATATTCACCTCCTGATGAGGATATTGCATAGTAGAATCACCCTGTCACGAGGAAAAAGAGAAGCAAGGAGCTCAGCCCTAGAACTAGACATATTTTTTTTCATCTGCTCAAAGGTAAGTCCATTGTCATCCACCACACGCCCAGTTAAGGGTGCCTTGTACTCATTACAGGCCAAAACAGTTTTCAACATTATCATACACTGAATCAAGAATTGGTCGAAAGACATCAAGTGTTGGTCTGGATCTACAATCTTGTTGACACAGCAGTCCACAACAAGTTGCAGGACGCATTTATCTCCGAATGAATAAGGATGACGCTGCTGCACTGCAACTAAGATTTTCATCAACTTAGTGCATGCCTGTTTTACAAAGTTCCAGAATTTGGGATGTTGCTCTTGGAGAGAGGAATCTGCTGATCAAGTTTTTTGTCAACCCCAATAAAATTTCAAATTACAAAGAGAAACAGAAGTTATAGGAAGTAACTTTGAAAAAGACGCATATAAAATAAGATGTTCCAGATATAATGATTATATATATATAGACACACACACAGAGCAACATAGAAACTTAAATGCGGTTTTTTTATAATGAGTCAAGAATGAGTTCATACAAAATGGAAGAAATGACTGGATGGCATTCAACATCACAGGAGAAACCTCTTTGATATGATTGACCTCCTTAAAAAGAAAAAAACAGAGGATGGATTACTATCATGATTAAATGAAAAGTAGGCCGATACCTCTAAGCATAAAAATGAAACCACAAAGGTTCAATGGCAGAGCTTAGTACCTGTAGGGTCTTTGCATCACTTGGAAATCCAGAAATTATCAACTGACGAACTATCTTGGAACACAAAAACCATCTCTGACAAGTTAAGTAAAGATCATCATGACATAGTTCAGATGTGTTCGCTCTGAAGCTTTGGGCAAGGGCTGAGAAACCATGCAGTATAGTTGGAACATCAGCCTGCCAAAGATGCCAGCAGAATTCAAAGAGTTGTCTTGATATCTGCCAAAGGAAACCAAAATAGCATCAATACAACAGTCTAAGAGAGGCAAGTTCTCTTTTTTCACAAAACACATGACAATATTGATTCATAAAAATGCAATCACATGCAAAGGAATCAGGATAATCATTTAGTCATTTATTTTACTTGGGAAAGGAGAAAGGATTTTTTATAGAAGTCATTTATAAATAAATATAAGCCATTGCCTCTGCAAGTGCATGATCTAAAGTCCCCCCCAAAAAAATTATACTGGTTTAGCTGCTGACTCATTGCCCAGTTATTTGCTAAACCTGCTTAATTTTCAAGTTCAGTCCATATATACTTATATTCGAACAAATATGTAAAGAATTGTTACATTCTGATCTGGATCTTAACTAGTAGGTGTTACTCGGTTAGAGCTTGATATATTTTGAATGAGCTGTTCAACAGATAGAAAAATGGTGGGGAAAACAAGAAAAACACTACAGACTGACAAGGTTAGACAATATATGAGTACCTGTACTGCAAAGCTCCAACATAAATACTACTCCCTCCGTCCCTGAATAATGTTCCAATTTTGGATTACGATGCTTGACTGAAGTAATTTTGAATTCTATATACATAAATATTGGTGTAGAATTAAAAAATATATATATATTTAAAACTACTTCAAAAGTTCTATAAAACAAGTAGTGACAAGAATGTTTTATTTTATCAAATGATTGATGAAAATTGGTAAAGAAAGGAAATTTAGTTTGGTCCTTTAAACTGTAAATGGGAACATTATTTAAGGAAGGAAGGAGTGATTGATTTTGGTTAGTAACATGACTATGTGAAGGGAGATAATATAATAAATTCACAGTTTGCATGAAATTACAAAATAAATGGCACAACTCCACCAGAATGTGTACCTCAGCAAAGTTTCTTTGGTCTGAGAGAAGAGGTTTTGTGGACAACTCCTTCAGAGTACGGAAAAGAATCATGAAAATTCTGTGGGTAGCTAGAATATCAGCTGATTGAAGCTGGTGGGCCAAACTGGAAAAAAGCTCGGGCCTGTATAGGAAGTTTACAATTGGTATTAGGCACACGGGAGTAATAGTACTTCAAAGTTCAAGACATCTGTGATATCATTATAGCCACAAAGGCAAAAACTGCAAAGCAAAAGAATGCAGTGTGCATACAGCATCAAGACGTGTTAGCTCTTTCACAGAAAAAACAAGAAATGATACTCTAAGTCCAGTGCCAATGGAGTTAAAAGAATCAAGGCATTTTATCTCCAAGAAAATAATGGACTAGATAAATATGGCACATCGACACAATATACTTCCATCGCTTCTTACTTTCCATGAAGTTTTGGAAAGTAACTGCAACAATGCATCATGGCCTCATGGATCTAGCAGAAACATTTGTGTACATCTTGACCACCCCCCCCCCCAAAAGCCCCCATCAGGGTTGGGATTATATTTGGTTTGTTGTTGTTATGCACTTATGTGATAATCTTTGGGTGATGACTTTTCCAATACTATTAATTCTATTATACTGTAGTATCTATCCATACATACTTTGTCAACCTACTGAAGCACAAAGAATCAATGTCCCCATTGGAGTTCGAACTAGTGACCTCCCAAAATGCATGGGCCATGCAAAGAATAGTGCACACCGAGAAACTTCAAAGTAATATTTGGAAAAGTGGTTATTGAATGTAAAATGATGGTTATTGAATTAGTTACATTGGTTCGGGCACATCAACCGTCAAGAAGAATTTGTTAGGTGTAGAAAGCAGAGTCTTGGAGTATTGGACTTAAATAGAAAATGAAGTAGATTGAAAATGACATTGATATATGTAAAAAAAGACATTTGGGATTTCATTGGCATAGTGTATAAGCAAAAAAAGAGTACAAAATAAGGATTGTGGTGGATGATCTAAGGACTTGATATTTGGTGTAAAATGCATACCATTCTTTGGGATAGTCAATACGAGCAATCTTTGAGAATATCACAGATAAAGTGAGGGAAACCTGTAAAACATCAAACCATCAAATATGTTTCACTTGATATCAGAAATAAGCTACTCACAGTACAAAGAGCATATAGCCACTATACAAACCATTGCAAACTCACAGAATAATTGACAATGTTTGTAGGCATAAATGCATGGCTCTTGAACAATTACTAATAGGCTCAGTATTAATTTATATTAAGCCATGATAACTAGCCCCACCTGGTAATTCTCTTCTCTCAAGTGTCCTAAAAGTTTTTGTCTTAAATGAGACTTTTCTTCACTGCTAATTCCCCTGCAAAGATTTTCCAAATACAATTCTAGCTAAGAAAGTAGAACAGAGATGCTAAACAATACTCAGTAAAAGAATGTATGCTATAAGAGCTCCATGTTAGCCATATCACTGTGAAGAGCAGTAACCAAGTGACCAACTATTAGAAACATCTTAGGGCGTTGAGCTTTAAAGCAAAATGCATCAAGGAATATAATCAGCCAGAGATGAGAGAATAAATCCACATCATCTCTCTTTTTCTTAGTAAGCAAAAGATTGTGATATTGATTGCCTATATAATCGATATTCACTGTTACAAAAGAAGCGTCTGAGTAATCATGTACAAAGCCACAGAGTGCACTAGATCAACAACAATTTCCATGAATGGCCATGAAATGTGCAAACAAAAAGGCATGGATGCTTACATTGAGTCACGCTTGTTCCTCCAATATTTGTTGATGCTGTTCTTGAAGTAGACAGATGCCAATAATCGAACATCTCCTTGAGATGCTAAATCCTTGGCCGTGATGACTTCCTAAACCAATAAACAACACAAGGCATGCTTCATTAGCCACTTGCAGATTATACCATAGCAGCACATACGCAATACTGATATACACATGCATAAACCTAACGTCTAAACAATATAGTGCGTGGAAAATAGCGTACCATAAGACAGGAGCAAAAACCGGGGCGGCTCTCACATTGAGCGAGAGTATCCTCGGCAGGACTCCGGATGCTCTGGTCGGAGCACAGTGAGTTAGATAGCAGCGAGTACATCGCCGGCAAGTCGGCCGTCGATAGCGCCATATCCACTAGCCAATCCGTCAATCGGCCGGTCGAACAATCCGCTCCGTTCGGTGCGAGGATCGGATAGTTATGCGGAGTCGAATCGGCGCATTGAGAGAGGGGTTTCCGGAATGTTGCAGGCGAAATGGAGGTCGTTGGATGGTGCAGGCTGCAGGGAACGAGACAGAGAGTGGAAAAGAATGTGCGGTGGCTTAGATTATTAGTTGTTGGCTCCGGCCAAAGCTAAGGCCGAAACCCCTGTAGGCTGCAGCTCCTGTGAGATCAGCAAAGTGGCTGGGGTGGCTTGGCTGGACTTTGGCTAAAACCAGTGTAGGGTGTATCTCATTTTGTAACTAAACGCATTGCACCTAGGGATGGGTATGGTCTGGTTTGAGCCAAAGATTTGTATAAAGTAGACTTGACTTGTATTTATTAAAATGGTCAGAGCCAAAACGGATTTTCAAAATTTTAAAGTTGAAACCGGACCTAACTCGGCTTGTTTGAAACGGGTCAATGGGTCCGAACCTATCATGATACTAATATTAAAAAAACAAAGTGATAATAAATTAATACGGAGTAATACATACATGGTTATTCATCATTAGTCCACAACAATGCACTACCCTCATTGTTAATTTTAAGTCATCCAACACAAAAAATAATACAAAGTATTAAAAAGCGGTCTGGTCCGGGTCCTGGACAGTTTCAAAATGGAGAACCGGACCGACTCTAAAACCAATAAGAACCGGACGACCCGGCCCGTTATAAATATTTGAAAAGAGGACCAGCCCCTAACTCGGACCAAACCTGCCAGTTCGGTTCCGACTCCTGGTTCCTTGACCCGTTTGCCGACCCCTAATTGCATCGACATTTTATTCTATATTCTAGTGTGGTAGTTTACATTGACAAAAAATATAAGTACAATTTTTTTTAGTTGAACTAATATTTGGTGTCAGTGTAAACTGTTAAAATGTCGGTATATTTCTTTGGGATACACTTTTTGGTGTACCTCTAACATGGTTTATAGATTGACTCTAGATGTGCATTCATCATAAAATTACTCCAAGTTCTTTATAATACTCCCTCCACTTACCTTTTGGCACACCATCCAATGCACTTCTTTAATCCATTTTATCTTGTAATTTGTATATTAAAAAATTATAGATGTAACGCCCCAAAATATACCCTAAAATTTATTGAATTAAATATTCAATTAAACAAAATTTGTTTTGATTAAAATAAATTGTTGTTGGGCTTTGGGCTGAAATAAAATATATATTGATATCCAATAAACATAATTGGGATAAATCTCATAGAGATAAATCCAACATGTTGATTTATTCTGTGATATTGATTGGGAACCTGAGTACAGACCCAAATTAAGAATAAATGAAGAAATTGTTTATAATGTGAACTTTGAAATGATTTATTGAAATAAATCATGGAAATAAATAATATGAATTAAATGTGAGAACCTTTTTGAATAAAGGTCAATTAAACCAATTTTGACTCTGTCAAAGTCAACCACCCAAAAATATGATGTCAGAAAAAGTATAACGAATAAATATAAAAATTATATCGTTAGATAGAGTTTAATTGTCTGATCGCAACGGTGCAATCGGATTTCAATTCGGAGAAAGTTGCACCAAAAAGTGTTCCCCGACTGGGACCAAATTAGTCTCAATCAGGGACTTGCGTTTGGAATGGAAGAAATATCGCAGCCCCCTCCACTGAGACGCCGAAACAGGAACTGATACATCATCACCTTGGCCTCTTTCTCCATTCTTTTACTATATAAGAAACCCAACTTCACCATTTCTTCATCATTCTTCATCAATATCATTCTGAGAGATAGCCTTGAGTGTGGAGAACGCAGTGGTGCTGTCAATTTGGTGAGAGGTCGCCGGAACAAGACGTGGTGTTCGCCGGAAGTTTCACCGGAAAATATTCAAAACCTTCATTTACCTTCGAGGTAAGTCCGTAGATATATCTAGTGATTAGAATGTTCGTATAGATCGTTTTTACGTTCATAAACGGTCGTTTGGTTGAGTTTTATGTTTGACATGTTTAAAGAACCAAGAATCATAAACCAAGAAATTGTTGTTAAAACTACAAATTAATGACTCTAAAATGATCTGTGAACATTGGGGAACATTCCTATATAATTTAATTGAAGTTTGGTAATTAAAAATGATAATGTTAAAAATTGAACAGAGGAAGAAGATGATGAACAGTGGCCGAAAATCGATTATTTCCTTCCTAATAATCGATTAAAAATTTGTTCAGATAGTCAGTATATTTAAAAATAATAATAATCGATTATTTTAATCATAAAAATCGATTTAACGTTATTAATCGATTATTTTAATTATAAAAATCGATTATTATGAATTAATTGATTATTTAAATTGTAAAAATCGATT